GGAAACCCTTTGTCCTGTTATAAGAAGATATAGATGATACAAAGAGATAGATGATTGATAGATACAGAATTTTGAGCTAAAGCAAGGGTAGACACATTTATTAGGAGGTTCATGCTTTTTCACCCAATGTTTGAAGTAAAAGAAAAATGTTAGAAAAGACAAATTAGGGTGTCATCTCCGAAGACTGAAGATAAAGAAGAGTAACAGAGTCATTTGAAATAGATACAATGAGCTATTGTGAACCAGTGCTAGGAAAACCTGGCATGAGCCTCTGAATTAAGAAAATTAGAAGTTGGGTATGGTAGCACAAGTCTGTAATCCCAGTGGCTCAGGAGGCTGAGGCAGGAGGATCACAAGTTTAAAGCCAGCCTTAGCAATTTAGTGAGGCCCTAAGCAACTCAGTGAGACCTGTCTCTAAATAAAACACAGAAACGGCTGGGAATGTGGCTCAGTGGTTGAGTGCCCCTGAGTTCAATCCCTGGTACCAAAAAAATAAAAATAGGAAAATATTCAATTCAAAGACCCTGGCATTTGTACCTGGGAAGAAGTAGTATTATGATGTAAGAAAATTGTGTTCCAAATGTGGCTAGAACTATGCTGTTTCATCCCATAGCAGCCACTAGGCATAGTGGCTCCATAGGCTTTTTAGCATTTAATGCCACAACAATTTAGGAACTCAATATTTAGCTTTATTTAGTGGTAACTACCAAAATGCAAATTTAAAATTGATACTCACTTTAAGAATGTTTGGAATAACTTATTTCAATCTTCTTTTTCAGCTGTAAATTTTTTTTTAATTCTAAATACAGATCAAGTTGTTCTGATGAAAATTTGACATTGAAATTGAGATGTGCTGTAAGTATAAGTAACATGAAGAATTTCAAAGATTTTGTACAAAAAGAAAGAATAAATAATGCAAATATGCTAAAAAAACCTTGTTAAAATAGCTTTTGTTGAAATAATATTTTCATATTAATATCTCAGAATAAGACACATTATTATAATTAAATTCATCTGTTATTTTTATTAATATGACTCCTAGAAAATTTAAAATTGCATATGTTGCTTTGTATTTCTTCTGAGAGTATACCTCTAATCTGAAGTACCTAAAGTCTCACAAGTGAGCATAGCACAGGGGAATTTACCTCTCTTGAGAAACCACAGATGTTGGAAGACTTTCCTTTACCTTTTAGGAACTGGAGGCTGAATTGGAGGATAAATCTCCAACCACTCTGAGCCCAACTCTGGCCCTTCATAGTTGTTGCTTTCAGCCTCAGAAAATTCAACCCAAAACAGAAGTCTCTAACTCTACTGGAAAGGGTCTAACCAGAACACCCAGCCTACATCATGGAGCAACCCAGGAGAGTGAATTAGAGAATATGTAATGTATCAGGAAAGTCATTGGCCTGGAACCAGGGAGCCCAGCCTCAAAGAGTTGTTGATGTTTGACAAATAACTACTCCAATTCACTTAGAAGCTCCTTAGGAAGTTTGGTCCAGCTACTGTATCTTGATCATAACTTGGTAAAACAAACTTATACAAAATTGTCTCTATTCAACATGTCAAGTTAGCACTTAGACTGAACACCACTACAGTAGACATAAATAAGCACTCAAGTCTTCTTGGATGGGCTATGGCCAGTGGAGATAACTGATAGATGCGTATTTGTATTGCAATGTGTAGTACCACTGCAGTTACTTAGGCTTAACTACTACTTGTCATCATCTCAGGGTACAAAATCTTTAAGAGCATAGATGATGGATCAGTCAGTTCTTCTGGGAAGAATCACGAAATATGGCGAGGTCACAGGTATTCTGATTCTTAATTCAATGACTTTTCACTTACACTCCTTTATAAATTTACATTAAATGTACACAAACATATTCGGCAAATTGGAAAGTAAAAGCCAAATGAATTATAAAAATCTGGACAACACCCTCAAGTTCTATTTCTAGTCTTATTTCTTTGGTGGAGTTATTTCTTGTGGGGAATCATCTCGAAGTGAAATTCACATCTTCACTTCTCATTTCCATGCCAAGGATTCTTATTTTGATCTTTTCAGTTGCCACCTGTCTTCTAGGCTCTAGCATTCCATTTTCAACTGCTTGGTATATTTTCTTTGTTCCCAGAAAACCTCACACATTTAAATTGCACTATAGATAGCTAAGGGATCTGAAGTAGACTTGAAGAGAAGGAAGAAATAGAAAACTCGATTGAAAGTATGGAGCACATTATATCTAAAAGGGAGAGCAACTCCCAACCATGAGGCAGTACTTTGTCTTTACTACATGACACACACATGTCCTTGGGTGATCTGCTTCCTTCTCTGGTCACCATTCAGTTTTCTAATTAGCAAATCTGGTTTCCTAGGAAATGCCATACCTGTAAGTGGCTCTTCTCAAATTTAGTGCAGTTGTTTAACATGTGGTGAAGTTCGTTTGCCTTCTCCACATAGCAATAGTTTTATTCAATACATATTTATTGAGCATGAACTATACTGTAGGCCCTGAAAGTACAACATGAAAAGTGGGACAGTTCTAGAAAAGCAAATAATTCAGATACTTGACCTAGTCTAAGGGATCAGAAAGGTTTGTATAAGGCATTAAATGTTTGAAACAGTGTTTGAGAATGTGTAAAGGTCTTGAGCAAGCAAATTACTGTTGAAAAAATGTTGTTCCAAACCTGGTCTAGAGCAAATTGCTATTGCTTGATGTATTTCGTGGTCACCTTTGAATAAATCAGACTTCTGATAAAACATTAAGCCATTTTCAATAATGATTTAGTTATGAGACTAACATTTGCCTGGGAAGCAGTTACTCCCATATTTACGTGAGAATCAAGAATCTGAGGATCTTTAATTAGTCCTTTCTGTTCCATTTAATCTGCATTTTCTATAAACGTTTCTGCTAGAAAAAAACCTTTAAATTGGCCTCCAAGAAGATTTACAATACAGTGAGATCATAAGAAAACTCTGATCCACGCTTATAGCTATATGTCTAGAAAGTTATCATTGTTCTTAAGTTAGTAATTACCACTAGGTTCTACAGTAAGGCTAATGTTATAGGGAACAGAACCAAATTGGGGTGGTGGACATGGTACAAGAGGAAACCCAGGGCATACAAGATGCAGATTAAGCAAGGGATGGATATCTGAAGCTTATTTTTAAAAACAAAATTCAAGAGAGATGAGGGAGATGACCACATTTACATTTTGTAAAGATCAGTCTTTTTATAGTAGTACTACCAATAGAAATTGAGATATAAGGTAAAGACAGACCTAAGCAACATATTTAATTTCAAAATGTCTTGTTGCCTTATCAAAACAGTGAAACAAATCAGGTAAATTCATTTTAACACTACAGTTAATATATCTCAATACTGTTATTGAGAATATTATCATTTTCAACATCTAATCAGTTACTCAGTTGATGAACTTCAACTCTTCTAGTAGAACAGTGAGGTCAAGTTTAGAATTTCCAATAGAGGGGGGCTGGGGTTACAGCTCAGTGGTAGAGCGCTTGCCTCGCATATGTGAGGTACTAGGTTCGATCCTTAGCACCACATCAAAATAAATAAAAGTAAAGATATTGTGTCCATTTAAAAAAATCTAAAAAAAAAAGTTCCAATAAAGGAAAGGTTTATTTATTTTTATTTTACAGTTTTATGGAAAATAAACAACTTGAGAACTTTCATTTTCCTCTAAGATTCTACTTTAGAATGTTACACCTTAATTTCTATAAACATGGATGACTTCCTGGGTAATAATACATACTTACCCTGATAATGTGTGAACTCCATGTGAAGAGATCTTCTAATGATTACTGATCCAAATAATTTTCACTAAATTAAGAAATATTAAGTTCAGTTACATAACATTTCACCTATTAATCACTGCCCCCCAAAGCAAAAACGAAATAAAATACATTTGGAGCTTCTTGTTAAACATCTTCACTGATAAAAACATAGAACTAAACATTTTAAGGCAGCTTAATGTGGTTGTAAATCAGCTACAATTGATGAAAGGCTAGGCAATGTTCAAGGTATTTGCATGTAATTACCCATTTGATCCTCACTGTGATCTGTGAGAGGTGGGTACTATTATTACCATCTTTTCAGAGGTAAGACACTGAGGCACTGAGTTTGAGTAAATTATTCAAGGTCACAGAGAGAACAGTGCTGGGATTCACACTTATGTGCCCTTACATTGCATTTAGCAGAATGAAATTTAAATTTGTTTGTTTTCTTTTCAGGTACTACAGAATGAACACAGGGCCTTGTGCCAGGCAAGTTCTACCACTGAGTTACATCCCCAGCCCTAAATTTGGGATTGTTTATTTGAATGAGATGAATTGAAGAAACGTCCTGTATCTCTCAAACCGGGTGAAGGAACAAATATACTGATTATAAATCATTATGGATAAATGATCCATTTTAACTAATGCCTTTTTTCTGCTCTAAAACTATTTTAATTCAAAAATTATCTTGCTTGTACCATACAAACATACATTCCAATTGCTGGGGTTAAAGAAAATTACTTTGAAAGATATTATAGTGTTTTTTAAAAATTCTTTTTCATTTTTGAAATATACTCTTAAAAATAAGCAAAAATGCAAAGAATTAGTTTGCTTTAAAATCATCTTTAAAGCTAAATGATCAGAAGAAAATGGAATAAAAACAAAGAAACATTTAATAAGTTGATTTAACTTAGCAAATATCAACATTTTATTTTATATTAATTCTTATTTTATCATCAGGCATATAGGAAGTCTATTAAGAACTTTCTAAAAATATTCATTGAATAAATAACTTTCATTTTGACAGATATACCTATTGTGTTTATTTCTTTACTTAAAAAGTTTTGGGCTTTGATGTATGTAGAATATAAATTCACACGCATCCCTAATGTTAACAGTGAACGTGAATTGTTCAAGCAACATTTTAAAGCTCGACACTTCCTTGTGCATAATTACCCAATTTTTCTGCATACATAGACACCACACCTTGTTGTCAATAAATAATTCCACTTTAATGGCAAAGTAATAATTTAGACAGATACAGGGTGCACATTTGCAAAAAAATATATGCAAGCTGGTTTACAAGCTAGAGGAACAATAAACCAATAGAAAATACGTCATCCAGTTAAGTCCATTGACACCAAGTACTTATTGTTGGGGCTTTACAAAGACTACAAAACTTTTCAGATGATTTATTTCACTGTTTCTGCCTATTTACATGATATGTTACATCAAAATGTACAAAATATAAAATGTATACAGACAAATGTTTCACAAACTAGTTTAAGTTGTAAACTAGGTGGACCTACTGGCATGTATTGCAGGAATTTCTGTTTATGCTCATGTTTGGACTGTGTTTCTCAAAATGGCAGGGAAAGATTAGCAATTTTCTTAGATCACATATTATACAAGGGCAACTAGTCACTCATCCAGCTACATAAATTGATGGTGCACAACAGATTTGATCCATGTTTGAGGCTTCAAAGTCAGGGTGACAATTCTATGTGCATAAATTCAGCTCCAATTCCCTCAGGGCAATAGCACCATGTAAGGACCTATGCACTTAGAAACACTCTGAAAGCGGCACTGATGTCTTGGGTTGATGTTATTGTTCTGTAGCAACTGACCCATGGGTGGTCACAGAGGATAGCACCAATTACACGTCCTAAAGGTCACACTTTTTCACACTCACAGAACTAGTCTATGCCATGGCCTAGCCCTTGGGTTTCATAAACCTAACACCTGTCCTCTGTGTGTGATGGTAACTTCTCCAATGACTGATCAGTTTTCATGCACTCTCTTTAAAGCCTGCCACAACAGATGTACTCTCAGACAGTTTTATTTATCCAAAAATGTATTGGCTTCATGTACAGTTTTGAAGCATGCTCACTCTAGCACTGATAGCTCCTGCATAGTCATACCAACTGTAAACACAGGACAAACACACCAGATAATAACAGCTTTGAGGGTTTGCATTCTGTATTTGTTTGCAACGTACAGGAAATCTCAGCAAGTGAAACACCTCTTAACACCAACGGGATAAAATACAATTTTGTTTGTTTGATTTGATTTGTGCAAGTTTGAAAAATTATTATTTACAATACCTACCCAGTAGACTGTGCAAATCTAACCTTCTTTTACAGTATCAACGCTTCCTCTTCCACAGTGACTTTACTGCTTCAGTGTTCTTTAATGCTGAATTTCTCATGTACAACAATAGCAATCAAAACAACATGCGTCAAAACTAATTTTAAAAAAATATATAAGAAAGAATAGGGAAGGAAAGCCAAATAGTTGTGCTCATGCTGCATCTAGTGCTTCCAGCTCTGCTGGATACGAATTCAAAATCTCCCACCTTCTGAAACTCTTTCACTTAGAACTGGATGGAATTTAGCCACGTCTCTGCTTTTCTGTGACGGTCAAAGAGGGTTCCTGGGTTACTCGAATACTTTGAGGATAGGCAAAGCAATCTATTCATGAGATAAAAATACTGATCTTTCTCCTATCCATTTCTTCAAAACAAAACAAAGCAAAACAAAAAAAAATGATATATAGAGATGAAGCTACTGTGATAACTGGTGTTCTTGGTTGTAAATGAAAAGACAGTGGAAATTACCAATGGTTTAGGATTTAAACCAACTGTTAACTAACCTGTTGTAGAAATCTGTTTTAAGGCAGTGAGACAGCACCATAGGAAATGTTCCTTCTTTCACTGAAAAGGCTCAAACAAATAAAGCCCTAAGAAAGCCTTTTGTCAGTGTTGACTAATAATTGGTATAAAACTCTTGTTAAGGGAGTGGGCAGGTGGTTTAAAAAGACCACGGTGGTAAAAACAACCTTATAAAACCTGGGACTCATACACTAAAAAGTGGGTGGCGCACGTCATGAGACCATGGCAGTTAGAATTGAGTTGGCACTTCTCCAGTTTGCCACAGTAGTGTTTTTTTCTGGTGGTTGCACAATTCCGCTTGTGCTTATGGAGGACTGGCCTCTTGGATTCATTCTGGAATGGGGTGAGCGCACAACACAAACACTACTGGAGCCCTGTGACCAGCACCATGTGGCACAGAGGAGGTTGGACGGATCAGAAGAATGGACCCTGCCTGGGGAGAACAGCCCCTCAGAGGAAACAGAAGGAAGGGACAAAAAAAGGTCTGCATTGTAAACTTTTAAAGAGGAAGAAACTAAAGTCCAGTTTGGCTATCCCATGTGCAATCTCTTCAGTTGCCCTGTCATTAGGGTCCTTTCCAGTTGAGTAATGGAGCCTTCTCTTACTCCATGGATATAAAAAATGCCTAGAAATAAAATAAAGTTAAGCTCCCATTTCAATTTAGCATCTTGGCGGTTCCGACTTAGTTCTGCTGCCTCCTTGAAGACCACGACTCTGGGTCAGGGCCCCTGACAGGGTGCTTTTATACTGGCAGTGGTTTAGTGAAAATACCTTTCTTTTAAAACACTTTTTTTTTTTAAAGCATCATCTTTTCCCCTAACTCTGTCCACCCTCTAAAGGGTGGATTCAAGAGAAGAATCCAAAACGTCTTCATGGTGGCTGGTGCTACCGCTGTCACAGCTTTGTGTGCCTGAGTAATTGGCTGCTTCTTGGAGTTTCATTAGCATATTCATCTGAAGAAAGAAAAAGAGACATCGATGGAGGCAATGATACATTGAATCAGCTGGCCCCAGAACAAAGGAGGAGGCTCCAAGCCACCCCAAAGGTCCCCAGCATCCCAACCAAGCCAAATGGGAAAATAGTTCCACATTGTCACTCCTTGCCCCAGCTCCTAGGCTGTTTCCCCCAAACATATGACTACCACACCAAACCATAAGGACAAAACAGGGCTGGGAGATAACTCTTTTATTTGGGGCTGTGAATGAATATTGCTCCAGTGGGGAGACTGGAGAGGAAGCTATATCACAGCTGGACATCTGGGTTGGTTGCTGGAGACTCCGCCAAGCTTCCCAGCTTTTTGGCTGGGACAAGCAGAAAGCACTGAATGGCAACAGAGAGTCGTGAATGTTCATACACACAGACGCACGCCCAGCCGTGCACTCGGTTCCCGGGGGGAAAGGAGGGGATGGAGTGGAATGAAGCCAGCTGCTGCGCACAAGCACACCATCTGCTGTTTAGGAGCTGACCTCGAGAGGAGGTGACGGAATGAAGCGGACCATGAGCATTTGAAGACGGAGAAGGAAAAAAATCACTGTCAAGTTTTTGTTGTCATTGAATTTCTGGCTGAAATATGATTGATATATCACTGAAAACAAAAACCACCTTCTGGAACAATAGCGGCTGTCTCAAGTTTCCCAGCCTTATAGGAGAATGGTAATGTTTGTTCTAGCAAAAGGACATATGCCTGAAAGCACCTGGGGGGAATGGCAGCTATTCCGTGTATTACAAAATAAAAGGAAGTCACATTGCTTGCCTTTTGATAGATCTGCTGCTCTACCATTAGAGATAGAAGCGGAAAAAATTTTTTTTTTGTTCAAAAGCAAATTTTGGATAAATAGATGGTATGATGATTTTAGAAAGCACAGAAAAATCAACACGTATCTTAATGAGAATAATGGACATGTTTCTTATCATGGTTTTTTTATACATCAACTTTATATTGCTTAATGCACACTAGTTATCTTCTTTTATATAGTAATTGTAGGTGTTCTTTTTCTTCTAACTGAAAAGAATAGAAAGGAAAAATCTCAAACAGGATCCTTGGTCATAAGATGGGCTATGCATATTTGTATGTTCAGCATAAACTGTGTGTTCAATAAATACTTGTGAAATGAATGATAAACTGGGTATAATCACCAATTTCTGCAAGAATGTCCTTCTGACAAAAGAGGTTACAGTTACTGAATATTTTAAAGTCATCCTTAATAGTCTCAGGACAATACTTTTTGACCTCAATTCAGTCTTTTGGTCTGACTCTCTGAATGCACTAAGTCACCTACATGAGGATTAAAAATAAAGGTAGATGTGATAACCTTTTAAATCTGGCAAGCCAAAAAGTCAAATCAATCTCTCTGTCTCTCTCTTCCTCTCATTCTCCCCACCCCACCCCCCTACATTCATGCACATTCATATGCCCTCCCCGTGGTCTTTTGTCTGCCTCCTTAGTAGCTGGCTGTATGTTTAAGCATTTGGGAAACTGATGTGTATAACAGAACTGTGTTTGGAGCACCCTCCTGATTTACTAGGAGTAGAAATGGTAAAGGAATCTGTTAAGAGGGATAGGATTCTATTGCAGCCAAAAATGTTTGGAACTATTTAAATGCTAAATGTTGTTAAGGTTTTGCAGTGTAATAATAGTATAATTAACATCTTAAGTTTTGAAAATGTTGCCATGCAGTAAATATGTTCCATTAGCGTAAGATCCAAGCTCAGATTCCTAATAAATATATACAATGAGATTTGCTTTGCCTCCTCGTAGTATTGCTTTGTTCACTGATATCCAAGGAGATTACAAAAGGAAGGTAAACTTATGGGTGATTCAATTATGACAGGTCATAATCCTCTGTGAAAGTGGTCTCCTTTGGTTTTCTTCTGCTGCTCCCCTGTGTCCACAGTCATAATATAATGTCCATCATTTCTAACACCTTGGTCAGTTCCTAGGTGTTCCTAGCAGAACTATTAGTTCCCAGCCTTTGTCCCTCTCCTTCAGTCCATTCTCTGCTTTGTTAGCAAAGTGATTTTTAGAAACTGCACATCTAACTAGATAAGTCACTATTCAAAAACCTTTAGAGACTCTCCGTTGTCTGTGTGATAAAGTTTGACTCCATGCAAAGATGCACAGGCTTAACATGATCCAGCAATTATTTACTTCTGTAGTTTTAATTCCTCTGACCAACTCCAACATAACTCCCCAAATTCATAATTTTTATTATACTATAATTTTTCATGTGCTGTTTCTTCAATTTTGGATGTTCTTCATCCAACCATATGATAAACTCCTATTCATCCCTCAAGGACCAGATAAAGCATTTCTTCCATGAAACTTTCTCCTAATTATTTTCTCGATAGACTCATAACTTTTCCTACAAAGTCCATCATTATTTTACTGTAATTTATGTAGGCAAACATCTTGCTCCACTATTATATTGTAAACCTCGTAAAATCAGAAATGATAACTTACCTAATGATCACTGAATCTTGGCACTAGGTACATGTTTATTAAATTTCAGCTTTTTGATGATGAATGCCCACCATATTTTTAAAATAAGGTGAAATGTGTCCCAAAACTTGTATTCTTGTTCAGATTTAAAGCCAGACTTCTGATATTAAATAGTAAATTTTCCCTAAGGTGTTTGTTTATTTATTTTTGGCAGTGATGGCAGTAGTGCCCAGGGCCTCACACATGCTAGGCACTGAGCTAAATCTCTACCCTTCCTAGGATTTCTGATATAGACTCATTTGCAAATATAGTTTTCCTTATGTCAGTAATTATAGAAATATACAAAAATGAAGGCAGGTAGAGAATATTTATTTTCCTATCAGGATGTCTGACCTTAAGATTTATTTTTAGATGATATCTTTGGCCATTTAGTATGCAAGATATCATAATCTCTTCTTTCTTTAGATTTTTGTTAAAGTAGCAGATAAGACACCTGAATTTTTTTTTTTTTTTGCTCCAATTATCCTGTCAGGATAGGAAACCCTGGCTCTCTTTCCTGCATTAGAAGACAAGGAAAAAGAATGCTTAAAAAGGTTAGCCCTAGGACTGGGGGATTGGGAAGCTGAGGTCATTTCCAGAGCATTCCACAATCTATAGACTAACAGTGAAAACAAAGCTTATATATAAATATTGCTCCTTATCTAAAACAGACATACTATAACAAAATTACACAGATTAGATAGGAATTACTAAACATTCAGATTAAATAATCCATACTTGTATGTTAAAATTTACACTTTACTAAATTTTATCCATTCTATCAGCAATTATTTAGTATATGATAATCATTATGCTGGATTTAAACCAATTCCACTACCACTGTTGATTCTAGGTACCATGTTATAAAAATGTGAGTCTTGGCCTTCATGAATTAGGCTAGATCATTTATCTTACACATAGGAACTCTGGACTCTAAACATGTCTTTGTGCATATTTCAGAGATTTTATAGAACTCTTGAAATAGTTTGCAAAATTTTCTGTGTGGGTATATCTTGAAAGTTTATTGGATGTTCTACATGTAACTCCCAAAATGTTAAGAAGGATCAGCTGAGATGATGATGATGTTCACATATTGGGTTACTGGTATAAGATCATTCCTCAAAATTTTAAGTCATTTTATGTCCTTGGATAGAGTCATAAGTTCTGATTTTCAATTATTTTCTTTTAAGTAAAATATTAGCCTTATTTCAATATCTTCTTTCTGTATTGGTTGTACAAATCCAATGATCCCTTGAATCATAGAATGATAAGCTAATAAACACAGAATGATAAGCTAATCACCTTTGATACTAACATACAGAAAGTAATTTATAAAAATAAAAATAGATGCAGAAAAATCAGCATCTATTCCTAAAAATACTGTCTATTTAATAATTTTCTGAATATTCATACTTTGGAGTTCTATAGGCTTATTCAAATTATTCTAATATTTTAAAAACTAAAACCATATACGTTGCAAATTGAGCAAAGCAAGAAGTATAACTTCCCTTTGATTTCCCCGCCAGTTTATCCTTCCCTATTATAGTGAACAGAAGACCAATTCTGAATTTAATCAGGCTGGTTGATACATGTAAAATATACTTTAGTATACATTAGATCATAATCTTTGGTTTTCTCATTTAAGTACAAAATTCAGTTTTCTTCTAAAGGCTTAGTGAACTGAGTTATGTTACTTAAAATTTATTTATTTGTTAACACAATGCAAAATAAGAGAGATATTGTAGTCATGAAGTTCAAACTGGTTTCAGAATTTCTTGACTGTTTTTAGCATACAGTTTTAGATTTCTTTGTATGAATTTCATCCAACTAAAGCAGGCTAAAGGTAACAACTAAAACTGAGTACCAATATCAAGGCAGTCCCCAATATTACTGAAGATAACCCATGTCTGTGATGCAGATGACTAAATGCTAATAAGCACACAACAATGTCAGGATTCTATAGCAAGAATCAACCATCAGTTTCTCACCAGGGGGTCCCCCTCAGTGTCTGTCTGTGGAATGTGCTTTGAGGTTGTGGCTTCCTTAGCAGAGGTGCAGCCCTCATATCCAACATCTTCTGGTCGCAACTGAAGTAATGCTGGTCCTTCCTGAGGCAGAGAGGCTGAGCTCCATGGGTATGTGTCAAGCACCCACTTTAAGGGATCTTCCCAGGGTGCACGCTTCCCATACATCTGAAAGTTAACCACAGAGTTGGTGCATATAAAGTTAATTTCTACTAAGTAAAAATCCTGACTCCTTATCAAGTGTTTCTTTTGCACTTTTGAGTTCTTATGGGACTTAGGGAATGAAGACATCTGAATATAGTTTTCTAGATTGTTCTACATAGCTCACTTAAAAGTTGAAGGATGGACAAAATGAAACTGAACATCTGGCCACATAATCAGTATTTGAGGGATAATATGAGGAAGGCTTTTTATTAATACATGTAGACATTACTGCCCACATTTGTCTTTATTAGTTTTACAAACCATGATAAAACTCAATGAGAACAACTAAAAGCTCCAGTTTGGGAGGATTTAAAAAACCGAATTTTTATAATTAAAAGAGTCTGCTACTGAAGTACACTTTAGATCAAAAGAAAAAAAGACTTTTTCTCTAATTCATTCAAACTTTGAGATCAAGAATCCATTCTCTGATGGTAATTGCCTTCCTCTAATAGTTCCAAGACTTCCTGTAAAAACTCTTTTTAAATGTTTATGTAAAAGATGACTAGGAAAAGAGGAGGAAAAATAGGAAACTAAAGTTTCAAGAATTTATATGGAGGCAATGAGCCCAATAAGAAAAAGATGACCCAGCATAGCTAAAGTACTGGCTGTGGAGTAAAGAGAGAAAAATGAATCCAAGAGGTATTAAACATTTTTAATCTGGAAACAATTGAAAAAAAAAAAACAAAAACGAAACACTATGAAGACAGAGGGTGATGAGAAAAAAAAAGCACAAGGCCATAAGGGACCCGGAAAGAACAGTTAAAATTGAGAGAAAGAGGTGGTGATGTTGTTCCTCTCTTAGCCTACGTCACTATGGACGACCCTGGTTACCAGGTATGTATTCAATCTCACAGGACATATAGTGATGACTCGTCCTCTGCATAGTTTGTTGTGGTTGGAAAAAAAGTGACATGTGGCTACGGCAATGAAAAGTCTATGCATTGCTTTTGAAACTTCCTGAAGAAGTTATGTAAGCATTTTCAGGCTAACCTAAAAAAAGAAAAAGAAGAGAGAAATAGAGAAAGGGAAGTCTAGTTCCTGACATCTGTGCACTTCCTTAGGAGATGATGGCAGAGGTAGCATTTTGAATCTTTTTAAAAATAGTTCTCTTGTTTTAGAACAGAAGGTTTCCTCTCTGCCGAAAACCTGCTTTATAAAGGAAGTAAAATATAGCTTGCTAGACAAGTTGAAGTAATTGAAGGAAAATGTATAGTTCTTGGAAAGTTTATGTTAAAAGAAAGAAGAATTTGAGTCTAGAATCAACCTTAAAAAGAACATGAGAATCTAGAAGCAACCAATGCCAGTCTGTTAAGGAAGCATCCAGGACAGCCAAGTTGGAGGTGACAATAAAAAGCTAAACCGGCCCAACTCTGTATTCTGGAGTGAGATCAATATTATAGAAAAAGGATGAAAAGAAATCTAAACATTCAGAATAAGATGAACTGACTGCTAACATTTCAAGAAAGAGTCATCAGAATAAAAATCAAATCCATTGCTTCACTAGCATACTTTCCAAGTAGACCATGTGGCACAGAGCACTTCCCAGATGGTTCCTCACCAAAGCATTAGCCTTCATCTGAAAAGAGATGGTTTGATTTCTCTCAACTCAGAATGTCATCTTGGCTACCAGGCTTCATTGCTTCTTTTCACCTCTTCTTCCTGTTCAAGGTGCTGTGTTGCCATGGATCCAAGAGAACTGTCCATGGCATGTAAGACTCTTTGTTTACTGCTCACCCCCTGGGTTCAAGGATGGGGATCCTAGGGAGGCCTTCTGCCAGGGGACTTTTCTGGCCAGCTAGCCTTCAAAAGCAACAAATGCCTACCCACTAATAGGCTTTCCTTTTGTTCCTATTCCACATTGTTCTTTTCTTCCTGTTCTCTAGTCTATCCCAACTCTTACTTCACCTCATGGTTGATTCAGCTTTCACACTAACCTCCTCCTGAATACCTACAACCATAGCAAGAGACTTGAGACAGATTCATTCCTCCTCAAAATAACTGTCAAGTATTTATCTCAATTTAATTTGGAAAATTGCTATTACTTAAATGATTATAGTTTTGCTGAAATACAAGCTTTATATAACTCTCAGGATAAAGTTTTCCAAACAATATTGATTAAAAAACAAAAAACAAAAAAAACCTCTTGCAGCTTTCAAAAGGAAGCTAAGGATTTTTTAGGTATAATTGTTCTGGGTTTAAGAAAAGATTCCTTTTCTTCCTATTAGCAAGCAAATATAAAATAGAATTTTATATATAAAGATTTAGATGAGATCTTAATATTGAAACTGAGTCTCAAGGACAAATAATTCATTTGGTTATTAATTTAAAAATATGATTTCTATATTGCAAATAGATTCTCATAAAATTATTTTTGCATAAATTATCAAAATTGAGCGACCTGAATTATATCTTTGACAGCATAATAGTTTTAGGAGAAATATGATCTGTTATATTTGAAAAATCAAAACCATTGGCATCATCTCTTATTTTATTGGAACTACTTACTGGGACTAGATTCATTCATACCCCTCAAAATAAGAAACTGGATTATTTAAATCTGGAGTTAAAAACAATCAATAGAATTGTTAGCATCCTAACTTCATCTAAGGATTCAGAACATCTTCATAATGTTTACCATGTTCACCAGAATTACATGGTAGTTCTAAGTACTGCTACATCAATCTACTAGAAGAGAGAAAAATAGTGACAGGAAATGAAAGAATAAAAAATACAGGACCAATTTTTTTAGATAGTAGAGACTTAACAAGTATTACAGATGACAGGTTTTTGAAAATATGAACTACATCTTAATTCTAGTAGCAGTTGGTTGTGAAAACCAGAAATAAAAATGTCCAAGCAAAAACTGACTAAATCCTGGCTGAGTTATTGAAAAGGAGATTGGATTCCTGCACAGTAAGTTGGATGATTATGTAATATAAATCTTAAAAGAGTTTTTAATTCTCCAATTTCATGAAATTTCAAATCCATTTTAAGGAAATAGCGAGACTGATGGAAAAAGGATAACTTTTTGATTTGTTTCGTTCTGAAGAAACAGGATTTTCTTATTATTGACCTATGTTTGCCTTTTAGATAAGCTTAAACAGAAGGAGAGGTTGTAGGGCCTCATGACACAGGGCAGATAAGAGGAACAGCAGAGATGCTGCTAAAACTACCTGTTGTGGATTAAAGAAAAGAAAAGAAAAAAAAAAGGCCAACTAACTTTCTTGGAATTTAGAGCACTCCCTTAATAATAGTAAAGGCTATTACAAGTCATATTGAAGGACTTCAATTAATGAAGAATTCTAACACACAAGCAAAAACTACTTGCTGCAAATTGTGATAAGCATATAAATGGTCAAGGCTCAGGCGAAAAAAACATGCCTGTGTCATAGAAAATAGAACTACAATAACGTGGCATTCTAATAAGAACAATCTAAATATCCCCTGCAACTAATTTGGCCTTGAAAATGTAGTTGCTGAAAGAAATGTATTTATTCTCTCTTACATCTTTGTTGTCATAAAAAAGTACTGCATGCTCATTGCTCTTTTCTTGCTCTATCTGTATTACATGCTTTTAGTTTTCTGCATAAATACAGAAATTAATACTTTTTTGCTATTAAAAGAATAACTTTTCTTTTTGCTTTGCTTTTTAGATAGCAATGCAAAATGAATACTATACCTGAAGACCTTCTCTCACTGCCTCCAGAATATAAGGTACCAAAGAATAGTTCCAAAGATCCATGAACCACACTCTAGAACCTTCTACATCCATGGGGCAAGGAAGGAAAAGTCGGGGACCTGAGAAGACACAAATAACAAAATATGTTTGAGAAATATTATAAACACATATTTAGACACCATTTTGGGAGACTTAATTTTATTTCTTTCAGCATTCTTAGAGAATTATAATCTCACCAGCTTAATCATAACTGAAGCATGTTTACTGAAGATCCCATTTCCTGGCTATTCCTTTTAAAGTTTTATATTAAAATATTAATCTAAAGCACAATATGAGAGAGGAGAAAGGGTAAAGGTCACAATTTAGTCAACCTGTCCTATTTTACAAACAATGTAAAATTCAGCTGTGCTGAAATGAATTATTGAAGATAAAACGTGTCACTGTAGAATTTGGTCTGAGTATGGATACTCTGCTCCAAGCACAGAATTCTTCCTAATCTGTGCTTGTATCTGTAGTCAGAATGTTTTTATGATCTATAACAATGGGAAAGATATTTATGTACATGCAACTTAAGAGGTAACACAAAAATAAACTAGTTATAACTGTGAAAATAATTCAGCTTTTTCTTCATGAAAAATATAAAACACCTAAAGTATCTATAAAATATCTAAATTATTTTCAACTAAAATCTTCCCTCACATCTATCTTTGAGATGAGTTAATTTGTGTTTACATAGTGTATCCTAAACAGATATTATTTATTTTGAAAAGTTCTCTGATATTTACATATTAGTCTGTATCAAACTTCTTTGATTTCAATAATATTTTAGTAAGCTATAATTGTCAGACAAAACGAATCTAATTAGTGAAACAAAACTTGGAAGAAGACAAACTTTTAGAAAGCAAAAAATGAAGTTAAATCTTTGGAAGCTTGAAAAACATTGGCTTTGCTTGTTGTTTTCTACCATCCAATCTGGCCATCTTTACCAAGTACTCCTGGTTCCTGGAAAATGGCATATTATAATTTTGGAACTCACCAATGGTAACATCAGAAGAACTATGTGTTTCCAAAAAACTGTTCAGATGATGCCACGTCTTAGGAATCCAATCTATAATTTTGACTAAGTCATTATTGCGTATGTTCCTTTCAATTTCCATCTCTATCAGTTTCCTTCGAAGATATCTGCCTAAAAAGCCTTTCACTGGTTCTGTGTGGTTTGCACACAATACCCATCTGTGAAAAGAAAAATAAAGTGAGAAATTTTTATATAAATTAAATTTTAATCCCACAGTAACTCTAGTAATAATATTCCTATGTCAACTGAGGGCCACATTTTAATGATCCAAGGGGTTAGGAAGTCTATCAGCATTAGTTTTAATGCTGCAAATGCCACCAGCTAAAGAGAAGCTTGTGTGCCTCAGAAGTGAGTGGGCGTCTACATGCTGAGCCTTCTTTTGTAGGAGAATCAGGAATCCTGAAATAGGAACTCTCTTCACATTCCTCACACTTAGAGGAAAAGTGCTCTGCTCAGGCAGGGGAACACAGTGAGCAGGAAAAACATTTCTATTCTTCTCTCTTTTTAAAGAAACACTTCTGATTATAGAATGAGGATCACAAAATGTCTTTTTGAAAAAGTGTCAGAAGAAGTGAGAATTATTTTCACCTCACAGGTCACCACTGGCAGGATACGAAAAAGAACAAATGGAAGAAACAAACAAACCAACCACCAGAAACGAACAAAAAGAAACACCATGGGGCAGGGGTGGGGAGGAGTGGGGTGGTGGTGGGGACAACAACAGCAACAACAACCAAAAAAAAAAAAAAAAAAAACACCCAGAAACCAAGAAACAAAAACATCCTTTGACTAATCTTTACCTGAAATTGTGGTGCAGCTCTAGATTGGGTGATGAAGAAACTCCCTGATTCATTGTTCCAATAATATATGGACTAGGTAAAAATAAAGAATAGGAAATTCAGATGTGTTAGAGGTAAAAATGACTAATACATTAACATCGCCTGTGAAAGCTATTAAGATAAATATGGATTATTCCATTTTAACAGTAGGCTTTAAAAGGGTCATTTTGTAATGTTAGATTGGAAAATGACAAAGATTATTGGAATAGAAGTTACCATGGGGGTTCTAAGTATGGCATTAGGATGCAGGAGAAAGACCTTCTTTGAGTCTGAGTTTACTCATCTACAAAGTAAAGAGGCTATGGTCTTGTCCCACTCAAACATCTTATAACTCTTATGCTTGTATTCAAATTTATTACTTATTCCTATTTTAGTGTTTTATAGTTATTTAAAGATTCTACATAATATAAGAGGGTTTGTATTCTTCCCCCAACCCTTCTTTATGCTGATATAATTCTAACATTTTATCACTATCAGAGATTAATTAATTAGAACATCTGGTACCATTAAAATAGATGTCACGTATGCTGATTGTGTCATTAAATGTCCTTTCTTTAGAGATAAGGCTATAATAAACCTTAGTGGGTTTTCAGATCTTTTTATTCCCTACTCTAACCTTTCCTTTTGTTTTAAATAGTAAAAACATAATATAGGAGGGGGTCACATATGAATGAATTAAATTTACTTCAGGAGTTGAATTTAAACTTTGATACAAACTGAAAAGGAAACTGGAGCTTTAAAATCGCCTTCTAGTTATGAATTTCCCTGATTTGAACTATTCCATCATTGACATTGTCTCTCAGACTTTCAGCATGTCTGTAGAAGATAACATCATTAAGGAAGTAATAAAAGTGCTAGGACACAGTTATTGAATGAATAGATGTTCTAAGGAATACATGAATTCTTTGGTATACAGTAAAAATATATTAAATAGGGGTTCTCAAATTAATGGCATCCATTGTAGGTTTTAAAATTTTAAAAAAGGCACAAGAAAGCAAATAACATGACCATTTTTTATATATGATAATTCAAGATATTTTATAAACATACCATTTGCTATATTTACAGTTGAGGAAACCGTTGAAGATATCACTCAAAGAGCCCACATGATGAAGATTATCAAGAATTATTACAACTGGGAGCTCTACACCATTATTATCAGCACTGCACTGTTCAGCCAGGTTAGCTAGATATTGTTGCAATTCCTTTAAAACACAAATAAGGCAAATACATGCATGATAAATTTATACCAACGACAAGCAATTCATATTCTAGGAATAACACAATCTATCTTCCATCCATATATATATGTATATTTTTTCATTAAAAGTCATAGAGCAGTCTATGGCTATGAAAACATTCTATAAAGCAAAAACAAAACAAGCATTTAACAATGAGAAGATAAGATTTTTAAAGGAAAGACAGAAGAGGATAAGCAAAAAGAGTATCTGTAGCAAATACAAAACTCTAAATGAAGGCATATTTCTCAGTGATTTACATTCCAAAAGAAAAGTCAAAGAAAGTTCTAGATATGAACTCTCCTCCCTCCCTCCCTCCTTCCCTCCCTCCCTCCCTCCCTCCCTTCCTTCCTTCCTTCCTTCCTTCCTGCCTGCCTGCCTGCCTGCTGGGGATTGAGCCTAGGACCTTATGCATGCTAGGTAAGCACTCAACCAACTGAGCTATATCCCCAGCCTCCTAGATATGAACTCTTATGGTAAACCATAAATATAAAGACTTCATTCTTGCTTTTGATGTTTCAATGACTAAAATGGATTTAAACATAGTTATAACTTCATGTATACACTAAATCCAAAGTGGAACCTCCAAGCTTCTACCAGCATTTGTTTTTTTTAAAGAGAGAGAGAGAGAATTTAAAAAAAATATATTTATTTATTTAGTTTTTTAGTTTTTCGGCGGACACAACATCTTTGTTTGTATGTGGTGCTGAGGATCGAACCCAGGCCGCACGAATGCCCGGCAAGCGCGCTACCCCTTGGGCCACATCCCCAGCCCCTCTACCAGCATTTTTAACATTTCAATTTTGATTAATTTAGTTGGGCGTGCATCTAAAAGTACAGCCATAGGACTCTGATTAAAATGTGGATAATAGATTATTTGTGTAGACTCTTTGAGGAAACTGCTGCAATTTTAAAACAAAGACAACTCATTGTATTTCATAGGATCGTTTAATATTAGCACTTAGAATTTCTTGAGCTTCCTGATTCTTTTACAGGTACTAGTCCTAATAGCTTTTAATCTAAATATGATAACCAGTTCCATGATTGACCATTCTCACAGATGGGTAGGCCAGAAACATAATTAGTTTTCTTAGAATTATCCTAATCAGTAAGAGCATTTCCATAATATTTGCATATTTACAATGACATTTTCAATTTGAATAACTTGCTCAGGGTTAAAAAAACAATTCCAGAATCCCAATTTCTGGCAGCCAGGTAAATATAAGAACTACTCACTCTAAATGCTACTTTGTTCTGTCTGTAGACAACTTTAGGAACTATAAGTGAAAGGGACTTAAGGCATTTGGTAATATTAATTTGTTAATAAAATATTGAGTTCAAATATAAAATTTAAATATAAAATATTAAAGACTTTTATATTTAATTTATTAAATATCTAAGATACTGTTTTGTTGTGTCACAGAACAAAGATACCATAAAATAGAACAGAACCAGTCACATAAAATAAATGTTGCCAAAAATCAGAAATAAAGATAAAATTTGTTTAAAACTAGTAAAAAATCTGGAGGATTTAATTTACCTTAAAAAAGAAAATGAAATTTCTATCACTCATCTAGTTATCTTAAGTCATTAATTAGTTCATTTATAAAATGTTCTCTTTCTACTATGTTTATAAGTTTAGATCCTACTGCCTTCCTCCATGAGCTCTAAAAGGTATCATATTAGGCACTGAAATTTAAATATAAGAAAGCATTTCTTATAATATCAAGAGTGTCTTATGAAACTTGAGAAGTCAAGGGAAGAGATTTCACCTAGCTGGGAGCTTCAAGGACAGTTTTCTGAAGCACATAGTGGTAGAGCTTGGGGAGAAGGTAGGTACACATATGAACAATGAACTTACAAAAATATCATGCCTAACATTCTGTGAGAGGCTAAGGGAGGCCTGCAGGAGACAGAGGGAATAATTCCAACTGGGGGTTCTTAAGGGACTTCATAGAGAGGATGGGATTTGAGAAGAACCTTGAATAATGAGTAAAATTCCAACTGAAAAGCTTGCAGTTATTTGTTTTTTCAACACATCTTTATCAAGCACTTAGTAGGTCCCTGGTACTCTGGCACAGGGATTCAAAGGTAAAACATAATACCTGTGCTCCAGAAAGTTACAGCTGATAAGCAGAGAAGCAGGCCAACAAGTGAATCACAATACCATGCTAGTGAAATGCAGAGCCCTACAGGGAGATGTAAGAGAAATATGTGGCTAGCCTTCAGGTTCAATGACAGGAGGCAGTGGAGGAAAACTTCAAGAACAATTCAAAGTTGGAAAGTATGAGGGCATGATGTATTTTGCAAAACAGTCATGATTCTGTTGTTACAGGAGAATATACTATATGGTAGTAGTGTGTACAATGGAAGAAAAAACAAAGACTTTGGATCCACGTAGAGAAAGTCGGATTTGACTACATGAACAACTGTGAGCCACTGATATGTTTGTTTGCTTGTCTGTCGTCAGCAGGGGAGAGCAATTTATTAATCAAAGGAAACAGAAATGTGAAGGATATAATGACTAATTAGAAATGGAAAAAAATTCAAGAAGCTTATTACCTAGAATAGAAAGTTAGGCATGTACATATATAACTATAATTAACAGTCAAAAAACATACTACTTGCAAAGATCAAAGATTTTGTTTAGAGCACATAAAGATTAATCATAGCTTCTAAAAAAGAATTTCTGGTGGCAGTATTATTTGCTACTAACCCTTTATTTTTAGGATTAGGTAATATTTTGATGCTCAAAAACAGGAGAAGAGCATTCCAAATGGAGAAGAATAATCAAAAGCAGAAGCAGGTAAATATGATAATCATGTAGACAAGAATGAGTAGTACAAGGTTTGTGAAAGCAAATAAATTAGAAAGTAAATAAATTAGAAAGGAAAGTTTGCAATATTAAATAATAGTTAAGACCAGTGGAATTTTCCTGTTGGTGATGCAGAATCATTGAATACTCTGGGGAACTACATAAAATAGAATTGTAACTGAACAGTGTGGTAAGCATATTGTGAAGGAAGTAGACTAGACCAGAGAATACTGAAATCGTTGAAGCCAAGAGACTGTATGGTTCTGAATAGGGAACAGTGTGGTACTTTTGATCTAGTTCGGAAAGCAATGGGAAAACATTGGATGATTTTTAATTAATTATGAAAAGATATTCTGTTTTTTTATGATGTGAGTGGAGAAAGCCCACAAAAGAGTGAAAGGAAATTTTAGGGGAATAGTGAATGAAGCAGTTAGAAAACAAATGTAAAGTTCACATGATAGAGGGTGTTAGTTTTGGGAGGGAGGGTGGTTTTGGTTGAGATGATTGGAAAAGGATGCACTTCTAATGTTTCTTTCATAAGTGAAGTTATCCTTTATAAACATGTATATTCATTAGATGAATGAAAACATGTGTAAGCTCAAAGAGAATTTACAAACTTGGGAGAGTGTTCCATTCATGTCAACCACATAGATCAACACAAGTTGAAGCCATGGGAGCTGTCCAAAGGAGAACAGAATGAGAGAGAACTGAAATGTAGGGGAGTATTTCCATTTAGTGGTAGGTGAAGAAAGAGCAGTCAATGAGAGGCTGAGAAGAAACTTACCAGGAAAGTAGCAAAGAAATAAGGAGAAAATAATAACTCTGACATTAGAAGAATTTCTATAAAGGGGAGATAAACTATAGCAATATGCTATAATGAGAGAGAAAGAGAGAGAGAGAGAGGGGTGTGGGGAGAGGGAGAGTGTGTGTGCACAAATGGGGGACAGTTAGAATGAGAGAGAGAACAGAGGCTGTATTTGGTAATTAGGAAGTCGCTGGGTAAATTTGGATAAGCACAGCTATCACATTGTTATGTAGTTCTTTTTCCTCTTGAGAGTGGTAGTAGATCCCTTGGGATCTAATAACAGCTACAAACCAGGAAGATATACAGACATTCATAAAGAATTTTTTTTCATATTTCTTATGAGTATTTCACAGACCCCTTTGAAATTGTCCATGCTCCTCCCTCTGGCTTGATGGGGATGGAATCTTAGATCAAGGTACTGATGCATTAAGTTTCACATCCATATCTACTTAGGTAGAAGACAGCAGGTGTATCTACCAGGTGGATATGAACAATGAGATGAATCCTATATCTCTATCTTGAAAACACAGATAGAACGTTATAGTTACATAAACACTGTTGATCATTGCTTTCTCTGAATTTCACTCCAGACACACTAAAATTGAATCTGCCAAGTCCAACTTTCTGATCTTTTCCAACCTAACATTCCAGGTGGCTTCGGCTGGCCACATATTCTTCACTAAATCCATCTCTAGCTTTCTGGGCCTGCTATATCAAATGTCACAAAGTGTAATTGTTTATGTGCACTGCTCTCAATCAAAATATTCCAGCTGGCAGCTTGAGGGAGGGCTTGAAGTGTGGGAAGAGGAACAGAATGTAAAATGAAGAGGTACCAAAAACATGAAAAGATTTTTTTTATTTGATGGTTTATTGTTTGATTTTTTTTAAATCTGTAAGTGCTTTAGGGATGTATGTCTTCAGTGCTCTCCATGGCATAGCATAAAAAACATCAGAATTACACAGCTCCAATTTTTTTCCAGAGGATAGATTTATCATTTCATTCCTCATTAGCATCTTACTTTAGTCAATCCATACTCTTAGCAGCTATTCCTAGCACAAACTCAACTTGTCGTTCCCTCTTCTTTAATATCATCCTCACTTACACCAATCCTCGCCTCCCCAAAATAGTGTAGATTCTCTGTCAACTTGGAAAGGATTAACCAAAGTCTCTGGCAATGACTGCTTATCCAGCATTACTGACAGCTCGTTCATATCTAACAGCCATAAAGAAGCAATAAACATTTTTCAGTTGTATTTTGTGTTCTCCCAGTGATTAATGCCATCTGATTTTTCCCCATGGGTTTCTTCCTATTACTGTTTCCAAGCATCATTACTTCCATTCAAACACTCCTGGAAATGCTTTTCTCATTCCATTATTTTGCAAAAGCAAATATTGAACTGACCTAACAATGGCACAAATGATCTTTATTTTTAAAAAAGCAGAAAATGAGTGTTAGAAATAATCAAAAAATTTAAAAGGACACTCACATAACATTATTAATAATATCTCTCAGCACTAAATATTTTTTAATAAATTAAAATAAAAGGATATATATATGTATATACACAAGTATATGGATCTTGGGGAGAGGTATATTTCATAATTAATGAAAATTACTCATTTTATTTTAGTGCATCAAGTTATATAATAATGAAGCTCAAAATCAAGTTATTTAATTCACACCTTGATTTTAAGTTATCTCCACCTTTATCAAAGTGCCTTGGTTTTTTCTTATAAATCCATTTAACTTGTACTCTCTAACCAGTGTTTTTGTTTTGCTTTGTTGTTTATTTATTTATTTATTTTTCATTGAGGAATTTGTGAAGAGTTTTGGCATATCAACACTGAGAAAAACCAAAGAGAACACTGAGGATACCTAAGAGACTTCAATCATTTCATCTTTTTTTGCGGGAAAGAAAAAAAAATGTGTTGAAAGGCCTTTCTGTCAAGATACAAGGAGACAAAATAGCAGGAAGCATTAAACATGTTGGCTGAAGCAACCAACCAATTGTGCTCTTCCTACTTTAGCTCAGAGAAGAGTCAAGTATCCCATCTCTAGAGTTATGCTTCTATTGAGTTGAAACAACAATGAGTGGTTCAGCCACAATTTGAATAGTGCTGAGGTCCAAGGTAATATTCAGAATCTACAGGCTGTGTTGATTTAACTTTTAAGATATCCCATTGTATTTTATGTACATCATTGCTACTCTTGAAGAATATACACAAAACAATTTTTAACAAGGGAGAGTGTATGTTTGTGTGCATGTACATGTGTGGTATATATTTGTGCAAGAAATCTGAATTGGAATCCAAAGGCTATGATGAATAATTAATAGTTGCAGGTAAGCCTCATACTGTGCTCACCACTTGTGCGGTTCTGTATCTATCTCCATCTCACACACACACACACACACACACACACACATTCTCACTCACACACTCATTTAGTCCTTACTACAACCCTACTGTTTCCTCTATTTTGCAGATTAAAAAAAAACAAAGTGAAGGAACAAGGAAATTCAGTAATGGCCTTAAATCCTACAAGTGGCCTGTGTTCATGACTTAAACACTAAGCTATATATCTGGTTATTTCATGAATCCAACAGGTTTGTGAGTCATATTTATTTCTAAAATCTGCAGACCTGAGCTTTCTGAGAGACTAGGTCAGTTTAGATCATCAAAGCAGGTTATTTTTCAAAAAAGTAGTAAAACTCAGAGTCTTTGAGGTTCTCTCAAGGTATTGTTTATATCAGTTACGATTTCCCAAGAGAATCTTAGGCGGCATTGATTCAAACTCTAATAAATAAAACTAGTAAAGTTAACAAGTGTGAAGAACACGTTAGCCCTTCACTATTTATTTATTTATTTATCTGTTTATCTTTCTTAATTTATTTTAGTATTCTTTGTTTTTACTTAGCATGTGTAAAAGTACTGGCTATACTGTAGAGCTCCTCACATCTACATAATGGTCTAGAGTGTTCAGGCTGATGAGTATGGCATCTCAGACCACAGGTGATGGGGAGAATGGACCACTGCTTATTTTCCTAAGGTTCTCAAATACAGTTCCTTCAAGAATCTGACATAAGCAAACTGCTGCTCTCCCAGATTTTCTGCCTAACATATTCTACTTATTCCCAAATCCTCATTGCTGAAATACCCCATTTAATTCCAATTTATCAACTGATACTCAGACCAAGTATTGCCTTTTTGTAAAGCTCTGATTCTTCCAAGTAGAGTTATTTCTCCCTCTTGCACTGTACACAAACCTCTTTTCTACTATAACATTTCCTAAATGGATGTCTAAAAAATTTCAGGCAACAAGGGCTCTGCCATTTCATTCTGCACAATCCCAAGGCCTTGTGCAGTTCCTGATAACCGAATGTTATCGAAAATAGCAGTTTTGTTCAAGTTTATAAAGCAAAGCTTGTTCATCCACAAGATTATAGCTTTACTCAAAGAAATGGATATTTTTTTTCATGTACAATATGGAAGTCTCACACAACTGTAAAACTTGATTGTTTAAGACATTTGCAGATAAACAACAGCTATTCTCTTTGGATTCTGTGACTTACCTTACTTGACTTGTGATCCACATTAAAAGTGGCAATTGCATCCTCTGTTTTTTTCCTTCCAGATTTGGTTATTACATATTCAGCAAGTTTGTTTGCTAAATAGGTCTTTCCAGTACCACTGGGTCCTGAGAGTATAATTCTGTGATGCTCCATCAACAAGTTAAAGTACCTTTGGGTAATTGGTTTAGGAATCAGTGTATCAAAAACAAAACTGTCCAAACTGTTTTCTTCTACCCCTGAAGGAAGAAACAAAGAGAGTAATAACACGGTTTACTGTTTTGTATTAAAAAAATATGGTGTAGATCATCGGTAGAGATTTGTTAGCCATAGGAATGCAGTCCTTGTAAAATAATTATCTAGATATTTCTATCCCACAAACATATGTGGCCAATTTGAGACAAAGTGTATCAGTAAGAAGGCAGAGTCAATAGCCAAATGAAAACAAGCTGTTTCTTTTTGTTCAGGCTTCCCTCCACTGACTACTTCATGTTTTCTACTCATGTCTCCAGAGAGAAATGGAAGCATTAAAACTTTTCTCATAAAATCTTCCTTCCCTTTGAAAGCAATTAGTCTCATTAAGAATAAATGGGAAGTACACACACACACACACACACGTGTGTGTGTGTGTTCTTTGTTTTTCTCACTCTTTTGCTCTTCTCTTTATTACCTTCTATCTCTCATCCCAGCTGTACAAACACTTGAACAATTGAAGAATACAAATTGTAATGTTAGGCAAAGAATTAGGAAGGGCAACAACAGTATCTCCTTTTACTAACCCAATTACCTTAATCATAAAATCAAATATTAATAAATTCCTCTATTAACCTATAGTTTATAGAGATGCATTCTGATTCTTGAACATATACAAACAAAGAATTGTGGAGACAAGTATACATAATTAGTCACAACACCCAAAGCAAAGAAAACAGAATTTCTCATTACTGATTCTTAACTTGCATTCATTCCTTCTCTCTCTGTTTCTCTGTCTTTCTTCCTTTATATCAGGGACTGAAACCAGGGGCACTTCACCACTAAACTACATTCTTAGCCCTTTTTTTTTCTTATTTTGAGACAGCGTCTCACTAAGTTACTTAGGGCCTCTCTAAATTGCTGAAGCTGGCTTTAAATTTGTGATCCTCCTGACTCAGCCTCTGGAGTCTCTGGGATTATAAGATTGTGCTACTCACCAGACTTTTACTTGCATTCTATACCCCCAGTGTATAATTATTGAGTACACACGTTTATAAGTTTAAAATATGGAAATGAATATATTACTTTGGAACACACAATACTTTTTTTCCAGTTTTCCTCTGATAAAAAATGATAATGGAGAAAATCTAGAATTTTGAAATTCCTTAAATTACATTTCTTTTTTTGCAAGTTGGTGAATTTTCAGAATTGTATTCTTCTAAGTGTTACATCCCAGAACTCAAAAAAAAAAAAAAACCACAAAAACAAAAAACAAAAATTCTGTAGTCTTCAGTGATTTTAGTAAGGTTTTCATATTTAAAAAATCAACATGGACACTTTAAACTAGAACTATTCAAGTGTTATCGTAATTTGCAAACATAAAAACTTGAAGGAAGCCTAAAAAAAAAAAAAAAAGAAGAAGAAGAGAAGGATATTGGTAAAAAAAAAAAAAAGTTACAACTGTACTTTTCACTTTCATGATTACCTTTCAGGTTCACAGTGATGATGTTGTTATCACCAACAAGGTACCCACACGGCAGCAGTTCAGGCACTTCAAGGTTCTGGGATCTAATTAAGTCTCCTATACAGTAACTGGCAATGCAGTCAGAGCTCAGACCAAGGCTGGAGGATGTATCAATTCGAAGTACATATTCCTAAAACGGTACACATGGAAAAAGTCAGTCCAAACAGGTTTGACAAATCTGCAACTAATACAAAACAGGGATATAAAGCTAGTTGTCAGGAATTTTAGATATGGGTAATGTAAGAACTGTTAATATTAAACAGCAGAAATGGAGAGGTTTTCTGTATTTCAAATGGAGGAGGAAAAAAAAGCAGATGTGTCTATGCTATCTATGAAAGTGAAGTAAAACAGGTGAAAAGGAACACAGAAGAACATTTAATATCAGGCTTTCTCGTATAACTCACCTTAAAGAGACGTCTAATAACACCATCTAAGACATCCCATTTGGTTTTTCCACTAACACCAATGGATCCTATCAAATATGCCTGAGATTTCTGATCCTAAGAACAAAACAGAGTAAGATAAACTTCAACTATGCATCTTATTACTATATGTTTCCTACTAAAACTTATTGATGTAGTTGGTGATTGACACAAAAGAATTTATTAAACCTGGAGTTCTATAGTAACAGATATACATGGAGGGTTATACAAAAACAAAATATGAACCTAGCAAATTAACCAGCCAAACAAATAAAATAACAGCAGTAGCAACAATAACAGGAAAGAAGACATTAGATGAAGTGTTAAGTCAAAGAAAATGATTTGTGATGTGTTCAGTAGAAAGGAAAGGGGAGGTGAATCAGAGAGAATGGCCTTGCAATTTAACACAGTTGGTACAATCCTACAAGAAGAAGCTTTTGGGGAAGAAAAGGGTGAAAGAGACAGCAAAGTACTACATCATATGAATCTTTGAACTTTCTCTTACTATTCTGTGATCTTATCTTTGATAAGTTCAATGCTTAGTTTTTTTCATTCTTTAATTTTATTACCATTCAATATAGATGTAAGAAATGTTGTTCATAAGAGTTTGATATTTGCATATTTATAAAACATGTCCAATTGTCAATTTATCAGAAAATTCAGTATTTCCAAGAAACTGCCAGAGAAAACTTTTATAATGCACATAATGGTTCAAAATGTGTGTGTGTGTGTATATATATTTTGTAGAATGAGGTTTTGAGGAATTTCTAGAAATATTAGAAATGTAAACAACTCAGGATTTGTGGTTTGACTGGAGTCTATTTAATATTGACTGGGAAAAGCAATTATAATATCAGTAAACATAGTTAGTTAATATATTACAATCCTGTTTCTAGTCACCAATTAGGTGGCCATTCAAGGTTGGTAGAATAATCACTGAGTCAAGGGTTAGAAGACATGGATTCTATAATGCACAACATCTCCCACCTACTTAAGAAATATGGCTTTAGGTAAATCATTTAGCTGACTCAAGGCCTCAGTTTCTTCATCTATAATATTTAACCCTATATGTGTAAATCATGATGAGCATTATTGAGATATAACCTCAATTAGAAGCCAATATATTCTTTCAGAAAATAGTGGAGAAATCCACAACTGACTGGTACTGTTACAGATTAAATGCTTGTGTTCACTCCCAATTCACATGGGGAAGTCTTAATCCCCCAATGTGATGGTACTTGGAGATAAGCCTCTGGGAGGTAATGACTAGGTTTGGATTTTATCATGAGGGTGAGACCTTCATGATCAGATTAATGGCCTTGGAGGGCATCTCTCACCTTCCCTCCCATTGACACTGGCATAAGGTCATATGAGAACAGATGGAGAAGCTGACCATCTGGAACCCAAGGAGAGAGCCCTCACCAGGAACCAAATGGGCCAGAATCCTGATCCTGCATATGCCATCCTCTAAAACTGTGAGAAAATACATTTTTGATTTTTAAACCTCCACTTATATGGTATTTTGCCATGGCAATTGTACCACACTAAGATGACTACTTTCTTAGATGCTTTATTTAAAGAAATGTTTAAAAGACATGGTCCTTTAGAATTATTTCAAAAAGAAAAATTTATTTGCCAATGATGCTAATGCTGTCAGAATGAGTGCTTATACAATGCTTTGTAACAGCTGCTTTTAAATTAGAGTTACTTTAGATTTCACTGAGACTATTAAACATAAAGATCCACTTGGGAAGAGTAGGCACAAACCTGCAGTTCAAGCATGAAGTTTATGGCACTGGATCCTTGGAACATTTGCTCAACATGAAAATTCACAAGTGCTCTATCTCACTTTTCAGACTCAAGTCCTTATATTGTTTAAAATTCTAAAGTATTGTTGTTTGATGGGGTAAAAATAGGATATTTACAAATTTGTATTATTGGCTACTCAACTAAAAGTTCAACTTGAAGTCTTTTTAGTTTTGAAAAAGAGATAAAATTAAGGAATATTTGAATCTAAAAGTAAAATACTTGCCTGATCAGTTAGGATCTTGCTTAAAAATGATGCAGACTAATAGCATCAATGGAATTTATCCTGCTAAATACTACTGAATATATAGACTACTGATTCAGTAGAATGTCTTTCGGATGTCCCCAATATTCGTTCATCTTACAGTGTTCTCTTTGTAGAAAGGTCACATTAACAGCACTCTAGTGAGGTGTTACTACACATCATAAACACTACTTATAATGTATAAGTGACACTCAAAGAGTATGGTAAACAAGTTGTTTATGTCAAGGAAATAAATTTTTATAAGTTTTAGTAGTGAAGGCTGTTGACAATCAATACTGTTTTCAAAAGAGTGAAAATGTGATACCTATGAGACACATTTATACTTTTATGGTGATGTCTCTACCTTTTATGCTTATATAATCTATTAAGGTAATACCGAGGCAAACATCTTCAATAGGATATTTATTAGAACAAATATTCAAATGTAAAATAATTTTAACTTATAGGAATTCTCACCCTCTAGTTATAATAAAGAATTTAAAGTTAAAGAAATACCTTTGCTCGACCATAGCCCTTGCTTATGGAGACTATAATTTTCACACTGCGGCCATCTTTGTGTCCAGTTGCATCTCCAGCATCATCTAGCAAAATATCTACCAGATTTCAAGAGAAAAACACACATTAAAAAAGTAATATTAGCTCAGATTTATTTACTGTTTTGCTTTCTCCATTTTTATTCTGTTCGGTGCAACTGCTTCCCATTCTGGCCAAACTGGTCTGAAAAACCTCCATTTATAAGAAGATGAATTATGTGGTTGGGCTCATGTTTCAATCTAAGAACTTATTTCTGCTTCCAAAGCTCCTTATCCAAGTGTTGGATCATTTCCTTTGGATGAAGAAATAGTCCCCACCCTTTTTTCTATTACACACAGGTCTGGGTAATACCTAAGTAATAGTCACCATTATAACCATAACAAACTGAAGAGCAATCCAATCTTTCTATCCAAACTAAAATATTCAAGCTCAATATTCATATAATTTGCGAATGCAAAGGTGCTGAGATTGACTGTCAAGTGAAATTATTTTCAGGCATATATTCAGTTGTATTACTGCTTGTCTTTTATCTACCATTATTAGGTACTATTATTGAATTTTAACCATGACCTTATATTTCCCTACATACGTATATTAATTATTGATCTCCTGGATACTTGGATTAATAGTTTCAAAACCAATATGATGTTTCTAGTAATCATCTATAAGTTACAGAAACATGATAAAGCTGGTCAACCTTTAAAGCATCAGTTTTTAAATGTGATTAAAGATTAATTTTCAAGATCTTTTGTTCCAGTGACACAACCAGGTACAATATATTTGGAAAATTATTACGAAAAACTATCCCAAAGATATGTTTTCTTTCAATAATGATGCTATTATTGAGCCATGCTTAATTCGAAGATAGTGTCCTATGAGTACAGGAAACTTGGTTACCTGCTAAAGAGCACATGTGCCTGGTAACAAGCTGACTCAATTGCTCTGCCTATAATTTTATAGAGATGATGGCTGTGATTACAACATCCTAGAAACAATTAAATAAGATGGGTCCTGAAAATTGAATGGCTCCTATTATATTAGTAATTAAGCATAGTTAATTTTGCAGAGGAAGGAGTCAAAAAATGGTATGAGGACAGTGTGTTGAAAAACAACTTCGTAGAGCTGGAGGCATATGAAAATTTCCAATAGAAATTTTTGATTCATCAACAACAATCTCCTGTACTGCGATTTAACTATTTTCATAGATTAATATCCTTATAGTCTTTAATTTTTCATATATCTTACTCAGAAATAAAAGTCTCTGGAAGAATTATTTCTTGTTCCTTTCTAGAACAGGATAACCATAGACTAAAACAATCTATGATATATCTCAAAGTCATTAGAAGAGTATAAAATTCCTACACATTGAAATGATTAATGTTTGATGAGATGAAAATGCTTATTACCTGACTTGATTATTACACATTGTATACCTGTATTGAATTACCATAATGTATCCCATACGTATGTATGAATGTTGCCCCCCCCCAAAAAAAAAATCTCTACCTTAAGTGTTAATTTTCTTGTTTCTAATTTCAGAAAATTAGAGTAGTTTTCCATTGGCTGTTCATACATAAACTTCTTGTAATTCATGTCCAAACTACTTCATTAGTACTATGCTCAACTACTTACAAATATTCAACAAATACCTATTAAGCCTATAAGATATCAGAAATTATGCTGGGCATTGAGAATGAATACCAAAGTGAGAAGGAAAATGAATTCCTTGCTCTTTTGGAGTATACATTCTCAACTAGGTAGTTTCAGAATGTTATGTACTGTGCAGGAAATCAACAGGTCAGTGAAGCAGAAACTGAAGGGAGGAATCTCTATAGGCAATCCTGGAAGGGTTCCTTGAGCAGGTGATGTCTGAGGTAAGACCAGAAGGTGAGAAGGGCTGGGCAGGTGAAGGTGAAGAGGTTTGGTCAATGAGAATAAATCAAAAAGCCTTTTGTAAGAGCAAGTGTAGGAGGTGATGTTGAAGTAGGTTGTAATCCTTGGCAAGGGGTTTAACTGGATTGCTGATCCACATATCTGTTCAAGTTTGACTTTGAACAGGTCTCACTCCTCCTAACAGTAGGGTAGATTTACCATTAAATGAGTGACTATGCTTGACTTCTGTATATGTGGCTACAGCTACCTGAAGCAAAATTAACACCATAGTTAAAAGTTCAGGCACTGCATTCATCCAGACTGAATTCATATATTAGTTCTTCCACTTCTTAGTTACATGATCTTGAAAAACAAAACAAAACAAAACTGCTGTGTCATTTTCCTAAGTATTGGTCGTTTAATCTGTAAAATGGGCTTAAATAGCATCTAGTTTGCAGGTTATTGAGCATATGAGATAACACTTTTAAATTATTTTATCATGTTTAGTAAGTTTTGCTCTTTTGTGATTCATTTCCTTTGTGTTTATTCTAAATCCTATTGAGGGTACATCTGGGTCTTCCCTGCTCTCAGTATATTCACAGGACAATCAGCTAAGAAAATGTTTCTGGTAAAACAGCAAAACAGCAAACTTAGAGTGAGAGACCTATATATTTTGCTTGTTTTTTTGGTGGGGGGAGTAAGTTATGATCCCAAATGTTTATAAACATTCCAACTTGCCTTTTAGATATAAATGACTTAAGTGTATAATGTGAGGACAGCCATAATAGAACTTTCAAAATTTTTTACTTTTTGAAGAGATGTAATTTACAAAAAAAAAATGTAATCAAAATTTGCATGCTGTATCATTTTTTTAATCTTTATGTTTCTGCTTCTCTTCCTCCTCTTTACTTCTTCTCCTTCTATATTTCAATGTGATTTAAGGCAAGGAGCGAAGTGTCTCAGTTCTACACTGGCATATAAAATTACCCAGGAACATGAGCACTATTGGTTTTCAAGCGTCATCTGGTGGTTGTACTTTGTAATCACCCCAGATCGTCAAGTAAACATTTCTTAAACTAAATCTTATATCCTAAAATGATTCAATGTCATAGGAGCAGTTATACTTCATAATTGAACAGTTCATCAGATATTAGGATGAAATTATGTCATATGATTCCATTTGCAATCAAATCAAAACTGTACCCTTGTTCCATCATTAGGACTGTTGAATCCAGTATGTTCTTACAGTTTGTTGAAAATTTAATAGAACTGCAGACTGGATGATGTAGCAGCATTATGTTCTCTCTAGGCAACATCATTCAGGATCATCTAGTCTAATTTAGGAACTGACTCTGTACCCTGAAAATTCTATTAAGTTGCATTGCATTGAGTTATTATTATTATATTCATGAGTACTAACGATCATCACTGAAAATACTTATTATTTCTTCATCTTATTCATCATAATCATGGAGGAAGCACTTCCCAAGCAAAAGTGATATTTTAAAAAATGGTATGAAATTTGTGTCTCTAAGATTTCCTGTTTCACATGTTATGTGCTTTTAAAACCACAAGTAGATAGAATGAATTTGTAAGATAAAAATGGGATCATTTCCAATAATTAATGTTAACATTTTTAGGAAAGGGTACTGTTCTCAGAATTCCAGGCTTGTCCCCACCTGCACTGGGCTGGATGGGCATGTGCACTAGCTCACCTGAGGTAACAGACTCTGTGATGTTCAGGTTGTTGAGAGACAGCCCGAGGGACTGCCTTGAAGAGGAAGAGGAGGTGCTGCTAGAGGACTCAGAAGGTGGCCGTGCAGGCTTTGCAGAGTTACCAGTCTCAGCCTTCAACCGGTCGTTCTCAGCCTTCAGTATCTCAATTTCATTCTGTTATTAAGATGGAAAATGTGAAAAATTTGAGCTAGTTTGATGAGAATGTAGCACCAAGGCTTGTATTCGATTTCTCTGTTAAAGCATGTGGTGATGCTTTCGATAAGCAAACAAATTATGAAAAGAGGATTTCCTTTTAAACAAGGGGTTAACCTTTGTCTCTCACATATATATGCATTTCTATATTCTCAAGTGTAGACACCATTATTATAATAATTATTATGTGCTGGGAATTAAACTGAGGGCCTGAAGCATGCTAGGAAAGCAGTCTACTCTGAGGTCCAACCCAACCCTATTTTTAAAAAAATATCCAAATTTGAGTAGTTTTTATTTTTTGGACTTGATCTAATTTCTCATTTGAATTAAGAATAACATAAATCTTAATTCAATAGATCCTAACACTTTTCATATTAAAAGTGATATTAAAATCTCTTAGGCAAATAATGCCATTTTTAATTCTGTAAATTCATGGAGAGTAGGAAAACAGGACAAAACAAAAACAATATGTAAATTGATATAAAATTACTTCATAATTCTAGTTAACAAATGAAAAAGGTTTTGTTTTCTCAAGATGGGGCACAAAGCTCATAAAGACCTTCTTATGGATATATACAGTGGCAGATGAGTGTGCAGAGCATGAGCTTTTCTTATTTCTGTCATCTGTGGTACGAAGTGCTTACTGGTTTACAGTAATAAAATAGAAACTTAGTCTGAACACAGACTGATTTTGAATTTAGCTTTTAGATGCTTCCAAAAATACGAAAGCTTTACTTTTACAGATGGCATTCTAAGTCACTTTAACTTCAATATACAGAAATCTTGTGTGGAATTTGTGTAGTTTCCTCATTGTTTTTGTTTTTCAATAGAAAAGAGGCAAAGGTACTTGAAAGCCAGATTTCAAAAGAACACTTTTAGAAAGCAACATAAAGGTAACTCATGGAAAAATAAAGAACCAAAAACTACAGTAGTTTCTTTAACACTTAGCGCTTGGCCCTAATCAATCACTGGTACAAGCATTTTGAATGGCCCCTGAGTTCAACTGGCCAGTTTGCTCTCCTCCATCCAACCCTGGATTTGACAAAATTCTCTATTCAGTATTAAGAACTGAGTTGTGAGACTGAATAAACAGAGGACATGTCCACAGTGGGATTTAAAAAAATGGAATCGGTTGCATAATAACTGAGAGAAGAGGAAAGGCAGCATTGTTATCTCTCCATTTTGTTCCCTGAAGGTGCTTCAGCACAGACCTGCATCCGGTTCATGGCTTCCCGGATCTGATCAAGATGATGAGCAGAGCTGAGGGCCTCCAACCGAATATCTGTTAATTTTAATTCCTTTTCTCTGAGCTCGCTCTTCAGCTGCAGAATTATCTCTGCCTCAGCCTCTGTGCATTCACAGATCCTGAATAAAGAAACAAACACAAAATCTGTGGTCTGGGAAGCAAGAGGATTAGGGAAAATAGTGCCTCTTTTAAAGGCTGAACTGCCACAATACCCAGCAGGTACAGAAATAATTTGCTGAGAAAAGGAGAAATAGTTTTATTAACCATAACGAATTTATAGGTTCAAAACTGAAAGTAGCTCTCTTTTTCTTTTAATCTTTTTTTCTTATTTTTTGAAATTTAAAAACAATCTACTAACATACAGAATATAAAGTGATCCTCAAAATTCCTGGTTGCTGATATCTCTATATTCTGTCCACAAAATTAAGGTAGAAGAGTCATAATATTACTATATTTCATTCTATATTTTTCAAGGGACTTAAATCTCCATTGGCAACATGTGAAATATTCTTTTTTAAGAGTCAAGCCTCAAAACTTCTCCTTTTGTAGAATTGTACAAACAATAACCATATTTGCCTCAACACCATTTTCCAGTTGTAATGAAAATCCAATGTAAATATTATAGAAAATAATTTAGAAAGATTAGTTTTGGACTTTTAAATAATGGATGAGTGTTGTATAATCTTCCTGTTAGGCCCAGCTGATTCAGGAGATCATAGCTAATGAAAAACATTTCAGACCTCAGCCTATGCAAGAGGCTAGCTTGGGGCTACTGGAAGGTCATATAATGCTATATCCTTATCCTTATTATTAATTTTTTAGATAGCATCATTAAAATAAATCTGCCAAAAAATTTGCTTTATATTAACTAATGCATTCTCCATTTAAAATTTGAACACTAGATTGTTAATCACAAAACGGCAAGACGGCAAGACGCTATCTTCCTTCCCATGTAAATAATGAAATTATGTAGCCAAAGCACAGTGGCCTTGTTCTACATGACAGTTCTATAATAGTCATTGTCATGAGCATACAATAAAATCTGATTTAAACAGTATATGAAACAAAGAGAATCATTTCATCAAAAAGTATTTCTATCTTTTAAATGTTATGTTCTTTCTTGTGGTATCTAAAAGTGGGCTACTAAAGAAATGTCTTGTTCGATTATTTAATAGAATCAAAGAACACTGGAATGTAAGTTGGTTTTAGAAAATCAAAATTTTAATATAAAAACAAGGAGAAGGTATTTGTGGTTGTAATGCATGCAAGTAATTTTCGAAAACACACAAAAGCAAATATTGCTAGGTTAGAAACTGGATTTTTACAGTTTTCATGCATCACACCATTTTACCGGGATCTATGCTTGTAGATCACAGGGCCATTTTGTCGTTTCTTTGGTGGCCAGATAAGAGGTGACCTGCATGTACGCACAGTTAGACAGATACATGGGTAAACGCAAGTGAAAACAAGTGAGGATGACTGAAAAAGTAGAGAATGAGATCACAAAAACGAAGACAAATGCTGTTTACCTTTCTCAGTAAGATTTGAAAAGGACGGGTACATATATGGTGCTGTAGTTGCAAAAGTACAACTGATTGTATTTAGAACATAAACATGGACTTGGCCTGAAGCTGTTTTTTTAAAAAGTGGGTCAGCATTCTGCAAAGGCAGTGACTTACGCTGAGGTAGATTGAGAGGGCTTCATGGATGTTGAACCACAGTCACCAGCACTATGGGGCAACTTGGGAGATGCCGGGAGAGATGAATCAGTAAGTTCTTCAATGTCTGAATGTGAAGATGGGGGCTTGGTGGACTTTTTCTTTCCAAAGGCTTGTTTGAAAGAACTTCTCAGCTGAAACAAGGACAAAAATTACCTCTCCTGTCTGTTTGCACCTGGAGGGATTTTGCTTTGGGGCGTTAGTTTGCAGGTGCCACCTAGCCACTGCCTGGGGTCAGTATATATAAGCAGAGTATTAACAGTTGCAGCACAGTATCTCTAAAAAAAAAAAAAAAGATACTGCATGTTGTTTTTTCCTTTTATTCTTGTATTAATCCAGCACAGCGCAAACATGGAAGGCTTTTAAATAGTGCAAGGTCAAGGGCATGGCTGTCAGAGCACTCATTTAAAACTAAGTACCTTGAAGGGATCTCCATTCCCAATGCTTCTCTCTTCAAGGCAATTTGTTTTAAATGGCCACTTTAGCGCTACAATCAAGTCATATCCTGCTGACATTACAAACTTAAAAAGCAAAATGAAATCAAATTCACCTAACACTTCATTAATTGTGATTTTCTATTCAAATTTTCAATTCCCAGACTATTCAAAACCAGAATTGGTATCCCCTACAGCTCTATTCAGAAAGTGGTTTTACTTCTCTTTAAAATTTGAGATTAAAATGAAAAGACACAAAGAAAAGACATACAAGGTAATCTGTTTTTAAAAGGTATAAAAGCCTACTGCCAAAATGAATAGCATTCATGCCAAGGTAGGGTTTTTTGTATAGATGCATGCCAAATTGTCCATGGTTTTATATTCACCTCACTTCCTCTAGAGTTCACCTTGCAGAAACATGAAAGAGTGTGGAATTACAAATCAAGGGAATGAAGGCTGATCAGTATTTTAAAATATTACCTGCATAAACATTTTTTTAAAACAAAAAAGATTTTTTTCATTATTTACAGAAAGCATTCCTGTAATATCTTTTGATAGTTTTGTGTTGGATTTCATCTAGTACTGTATTTATTTAAAATGTACCTTTGTCTCGGTGGTTTGAAACAAAAATACCAAAACTTTCACTTAGTTGTTTTCAAACTATTTGCAATGACCACATCTTCCCCTCAGATTTTTAGTGGTTGCTTAATATTATCATAAATGGTAATATCTCTAGCAAATTTAAGGTCCAGTCCTGTTAAAGTTCATTTCTGCATTTTCCAGTATGTTCTACTGGTAACAACAACAAAAAACAACACACACGCTAATGCAGTTGGTTTCTTATGGGGTAAAATCTTATTCACCCTGTAGTCCCTGTTGATTCCAGGGGTGTGTGTGGTGTTAGCTTTCAATGTCTGTTCTTTCCTATTATAAACTCCAATTTTCCTTTTCCTCCACCATTACCATCATTACCATCACCATCACCACCATCACCACCACTACCACCATCATCTTTATCATCTTATTCCTTGTCACCCTGACAAATAAAACCCTGCTCTTAGTTCTAACTCTAGAATATATGCTCTTCAGCACCATGCCAGCCTAATCTCGGTGATTAGTGCAACATTTGAGGTGCCAGAGTACTTGAATGGGACTCTGTCAATTGCTGCAGACTTTTAAAGCTCCAGAGAAAAAAGCCTAAGTCCTTACACCAGAATAAGCTATTTAATTAGATGGGTGATGAGGGCTTACCCAGTTTTTCTTTTTCTTTTTCTTGGAGTCAGCATCATTACCACTGCCAATGCTGGAATGGCTTGTGGCACTGTTGATACTGGAAACACTTTCAGAGGAATGCTGTCTTCTGATGCGGAGATCTAGCAACAGAGAGTATCACATTTGCTCATAAAAGTTGCAGTCTGAACAAAGTAAGTCTTTGAGGCTTTCTGAGAGTATGTTCTCCAACAAAGATCAACAGGCTTTGTACAGATCATTTTATTGCAGTTTTGGTCTTACAAGTTTAATAAAGTACAACCTTATTTGCTTTAATTAACTGAGTTATCTACATTAAGATTCATCAGGAATCTCATATGAGTCTGTAACACTGATGCTTTAATGAGTTCTGAATTTTGTCCAAAATTGAAATGCCATGCTAGTGATTTCTACTGAATACCCGGATCAAACAGCAGTTCCAAAATGATTTATTCCAAATGATTATTTCCATGGAGTAAATGGAAACTCATAATAGGATGAGATTAATTCTTTTTAATATTTGTGCTTTGAATAAAGTTTCTAAAGCCAAATATACTGACTTTCCATTTCATTGAATCATGCCATGTTGGAGCCAAAACAAACCTAGGAAGTCAAATAAGCACATCATCTAGCAGATGAGGAAATTGAAGTGCAAAGGAGTTGACTTGACCAAGGTCAAAGAAGCAATGAAGAGAAGATCCTCCAGAGAGACTCTAGATAGGAAGTTTGTAAATTAAACAGAGAACATACGTCATATGGTGCTATTCTTCCAACATACCCCCAGTCCCTGTCTGTGACAAAATAGTAAGACTAATAATGATGCTTAGTATGCCCCTGCATACTTAATTTTACTCTTAAAGTAAACCAATGAAATGATTTTATCTATTATATATAATTGATACATGGTAATATAGCTTAAAAATAGTGGCACGAATCTCAGAGCTAGGCTGAGTCTAATATCTATTGTGCTACCTGCCATGTAATATGGTTGGGCTAAACTTCCCCAAAGCATGCAGCACTTCTCTGGTTATACAAGATATTTTAAAGAGAGTAGCATTTGATATTTTATAACTTTTAAACATTTGCACTTATTCTATATAAGATTTATTTTGTAAATATCAAAATTAAAAGAAACTAAAATTTTATTTACTTACAGTAAACTTATATTAAGTGCTAGTGAGTTACCAAGAGAATTTATAAGGTCAAATTTACTTTTAAGACATCCCTATTAACATACTTAGTTGGCATCAATGCAGATTAGCCAAGTAAAAAAACTTAAGTGGAACATGTAATATGTGAAAAATTACCATATAACTTTAAAAATTTTTCTTATAAAAAATAGTATAAAATCAAGCCTGTCCAGTTGACCAATTTTCTGATGAGTAAAAATGATCCATAGCAATATAACCAATTACTTTAAGAATATATAGTAGGGCTGTGGATATAGCTCAGTTGGTAGAGTGCTTTCCTTGCATACACAAGGCCATGGGTTCAATCCCCAGCACCACAGAAAAAGAAGAATATATTACAAATGAGTGTACATGTGGGTATGTGATTTATGTATATACATATACATACCTCAGACATGTGTGTATATATATATATATATATATATATATATATATATATATATATATATCTCCACACATATATCAGCAGTAAATAGCTTAATTTCCCTATTAAAATAGTTATGCTGACAAATTTTGTGGGAGGAGAAAACTGAAGTATTTTTCAGAATCCCTAGAGTCATAAAAACACTGATTCTCATAATTTAACAAAAAAATTACCTATTTTAAAACCTAAAGGTATGTACACTATTTATTTATGTATACTGTTTTGATTCAATAATAAAGGAACCTAGTATCTGTTAATAATATGAAAGTCATATGAATAAATCACAGAAACTTATGTGTAGGTATTTATTCATGTTTTAAATTTCTGCTGCAGTTGGCTATTAGCTTTTCTGAATAAGGTACAGCATTTACTAACTTTTCTCGAATAACTTTCACAAAGAAAACAGACATGTTGGAGATTTCTAGAGTTTTTATCATACCTGGAATTAATAAACTATACTTGATTTCACTAATCTCAAAGTTTTAAAAATATGGGTAATACATTTTATTTTTCTCTAAAAATTTCCTTTTAGTGCTTGTAAGAATTTGATTCAGTGTATAGGGCATCGTAGAGCCTTAACCAATGAATACAGATAATCCAAACACATGGAGATGCCTGCTTTAAAAGTATCATTTTCAGTTACACATTTGTTCCTTCATTAATTTTCACTTCTCACCCTCTGCCCCACCAATGCCACTGTTCAAGCTACCCATATCACTTACCTGCTCTACAGCAAGAATAGCTATCCAATTTTCTCACTTTCAAACCATTCTATACACAGGAGCTACAAAAATCTTCTTAGAAGAAAAATTTCATCACCACTGCCTTACTTAACACTATCTCCTGTTAAATGTGGCCTCTGTGGGAAGGTCCTTCCTGACTATGCAACCTCTAATAGGTTTCCTTGTACCCTCTTTTTCTATGGTAATCTGTTCTTGTCCACCTTAGAATGACTGTGGTATGAACCAGCTATACCAATGATCATACACGATCATTTATTTTCTGCTCTCCCACTAAAGTGAAAGTTCAGTGCAGACAAAGACCATGTTTATTTTTGGTTTTACTGTCTATGTCCAGGGCCTTGTACAGCACTGTATGAAGTAATCCATTAATATGTTGTTGTTATATGAGTTTATTCTAATTGTTGATTCAATGCAAATCTGTTTGTTGACCATTATTTCTAAAATATATTTATCACTAATAGTAATTTAACATATGTTTATATTTTGACTAATTTTACATGGTACTTTCTTTTCTTCAGTACTGGTAATCAAACCCAGGACTGCACTCATGTTAGGCAAGCACTCTACCACTGACTTATACTCCCAGCCCTATTTGGTACTACCACTGACTTATACTCCCAGCCCTATTTGGTACTTCTTAAAGAAAAAGTACTCCATGTTTACACAGAGGTAGTGACTTAAAGAACAGTATATTTGGAAAAATTAAAGTAAAATTTCCCATGCCTTCCCAGTAATTTTCCATGTCAGCCAGCCTTAAAATAATTATGTTTGTAACAGTTGTTTTATATATGAAATATGTATATATATATATATATATATATAAATAACATGTAACATGGATTCATGTGGTAAAATATATATTTACCTTTCATTGAAAGGAATTGTGGGCCACAGAGTCACTCATTTTTAATCTTTGTATTCAAAAAACAAAATTCCCAAATGTACAGCAGATGTTTAAATGTTTGTAAATAAATAAATATTATTTTATTATAGACTTCTTATTCATCAGACTGTTAATAAATGTTATGTATAAATATAGATGAAAAGGTAAATTAATGAATTTTATGCAATTTTGCATAATTTGATCATCTATAAAAGTGTTGCTTTACTCCAAATAGTTATGATAAGATTGTATGCTAAAATTTTACATAAAATTATTTTAAAGGTCACAAAAACTGAATTTCAATATGATTTCACAGACATATAAACTATACAATCCAATGAACCCATAGAAAGATACATAACTAATTCAACTGATTTTTATTTATATAATATTAATTAATAGTCAATGTAATACAAATAATGTTAGAGTCACTGAATTTAATATTGTTTTAATATTTCAGAAACACAGTCTAAATGTCTTATATACTGTCAACTCTTCATAACTAGTTATTTCCTTAATTTTGGAAATGTGGGCAATTATTTTTCATATTTTTGACCAACTTAGATATGATTATTTTGTTCCTCTTAATCACTATCCCTCCCACATTTCTGAGCAAAGGAATTCCGATTTTTTAATTCTAGTAGATATACTAAGCTACCTGTTGCCTAAGATAAAAGGAATCCTTCCAGAAAGTTTCACTTCAGTGACTTGTGCTGTATTAAAGAAGGGATTAAGCCTTTTTAAATCCCTTCTGGACCTATTTACGACATGAAGACTTAGAACATAAGCTGCTTTATTATAGCTCTAAGAAAAGCTTTAAATACGCAGTAATTTTCCATGCAGCATATAAATCAACTCCCCCACATGAAAATTGCTAAATTCTTAACAGAAGTAGCCCATAGAAATCCAGTTTGTCTTTCAACTTAAGTAGACCTCATTTTACATAACTGTTTTCCTAAAATTTAAATTCAACTATATATTCTTAATTATGTTATTCTTTTCTGTGAAATTTGAATAAGCCCCTTTAATGTGCAAGGCAACGCTATAGGCATTGGGATGAAGAAACAAACCCTCCTACATAAATCAGGACAGACAGACCTCAAAGGCACCAGAGTATAATGCAAATTTTAATAAGGGAAGTACAGCTATTTCCAGAAACATATCACAGGAGACCTCATCCAGTTTAGGGGGACAAAGAGGCATATTTAAGCTAATTCCTAAAGTTTTCCAAAAGTTTTTATTCTGAACAAACAGGGCAGAATGTTCCAAGTGGAGTAAACAGACTGTTTAAAGAACTTATGAAGAATGGAAAGAAATTCAGGAAATCTGAAATATGGAATACACAGTGTAATGAAAGAGCAAGAAATATAGTCAAGGACAGCATCTGGCATATAATTAGCAATCACTAAATGTTTGTTGAATATAAAGTTGGTGAAGGGAGATTATCTCATGTCAAGGAGCTTGTTTTTCATCCCAAAGGCAAGGGGGTGTCTGCAGATGCCTGCTTTTAGATGATTGCTCTGACTTTAGTTGAAGAATGGTATAAAATGGGGTAAGGTTAAGAGAAGAAAGGTTATGTAGGACTTGGTGGTGCCAGATCAGGGAAGAGTCAAAGGATGGTGACAGCAGGATCAGGGAAAAGTAAACAAATCTATCAACACTTAAAGGGTAGAATCAGAAGAACTTGATGATTCATTGAGTCAAGAGAGATGGTTATGAATGACATCTAGATGAAAGAAGGGTGATACCATTACTGAAGCAAAGAACACTGGAGGAGAAGGAGGGCTAAGAGGGAAGTTCAGGTTTGGAGATGTCATGTTTAAAGTGCCAAAAAATTACTCAAAGATACCCAAGGGGAGTTCTTTCTTGGCAACTAGATAAGATAGAGCTCTATCTCCAGAGATGAGCCTGGCCTAGAGATACAGAGACAGTCAGTGACACATAAATTATAATGATAGCTACAGCACTAGGTGAGTTTATATAATTTTGGAAAGGATGTTCAGAATCATTTTGGAAGAGAGTTTAGAATATCAATAATTAACAAATGTATATAATGAAGTGAACACACAGAAAAGGAAGAAAAACAAAAATGAATGTGTCCACCAGAAGGAATTAGACATCAGTACCAAATGTGGTTGCCATGATGAGTACAATAAGAATTTTAGCTATTTCCCTGGATTAAGTGCTATGTTAGTCATTGTTGACCCTGGAGAAAAAAGCTTTGGAGGAGTAGTTGGGTATAGAATTTATGATCCTATGGGCTGAAAGGTGATTGGTGATTGAAGACTTTGAAAGGTTCCCAAATTAGTTTTACCAGAACTTATCTGGAAATAGGAAGAAAGATGATAAGAACTGAGGATTTAGGAAAGAATTTTTTAGCTGGAAGAGAGAATGAGACATATTTAATGCTATTGAAAAGTGAATGAATAAATTGAACCTATATAAAGAAAAAATGATATGACAATAATGAGCATTTCTTTAGTGGTGAACCAAAAGGTAGAGATGATGGCAAAAGGAATATTTTCATTGTTTAAAACTGTAGAAATATGGTCATAATAAAATACAAGCTGATTTCTAGTCTGTTTTCTCATTATTTAAAAATTATCTACAGAACATTGTCCCACCCAGGAGAAGTTACTCCAAATGCCTGAGACTTGGTATTAACATACTGATTGCTTCATTTTTATTTGCAGATCTGGATTATCATACTCATTTATAGGCTTGTTTTGCTTAAGTCAATATGCACATCACCTCTGCCTCCCAGATCAAATGGAGAGAATATATGTAGAACTATAGAAGTCAATTCATTAAGGTCAATTTAAAAATTATTTGACAGAAGAAGCTACTGTTCTCAAAGTCTGCAATTCTGGAATTCTGATCCCATTAATTTCTCCTTACTCATTAGAAAAGGCAGTGCCACTGAGTAAATACAACTCCATTCTATAAATAAAACAGATACCTATTATTTAAGATGAAAAATGATACCATTTCTGAATATACCTTTTGGAGGGTGGTCTGGGCCATTTAGGGCCCCCTGAATGGCCGCCTGGGCAGCAGAGTTCTGGGCCTTCAGCATTTCAATGGTCTCCCTTAATTCTATAAGTTCAGACTCCTGTGAAATAAACAAGAGTTTAGAAGCTTTAATATTTAGAGACAAAAATGAAAGCCCTTGTTCATAGTATATCATCAAATGGGTTTGGTTTTATATAGTACCAGACTCCTGAGAGATTTGGATACTTGGCTAAATTTGCCAAGTTGTATCTAACAACTTCTTTCTTAGTTAAAGAAGAATCAATTTTTTTCTTATTGTCCTATAGAAGTGATTTAAATAGTCATTAATTCTTTCAAAGGGTGGTACCTAGAGCTGACCATTGCAAAGCAAAACAAGGTATCATATCACTCATTTTAGTTATCAAACAGTCATATTACCTATGATTATATTAGATATTTAGATAGCAGAATAATAGTACCACATTATATTGCACTTACTTTCAAGTAGAAATATGCAGTGATATCAAATAAGTGACTATAGATTCTGCCTGAAGTATTTTGCACTTTGGCAATAATTTCTTTGAATCTAAGTGTAAAATCTGGAACTCATTCCTAACTCACTCCTGTTAAATATCACCTTATTAAATTTTGCTGATATATTCAGATCATCCTAGATTCTGACACTTTTCATCCAATAAAATTGATAATATGGGGACTCAGCTTCTCGAAGCCAGAGCAACATAGGAATTAAAACAGTTACTGGAGAGATATAAAATACATACCCCTTAACTAATAAATCACCAAAAAGTCAGTGTAAAATCAAATTTTTATAGTAAATGTATTTTAAATGTATTCTTACTGAATTTAGAATAATTTTGTTGTGTCTCAATGCAAATTACTATAACTTTTGTCTTTCACAGTTATTTAAATGAATTATTTTAACAGAAATGACTTATAATGAGTGAGATAGGATAGCCAGAAGGTGTGTGTGTGCGGGGAATGGGGGGGGTACATGATAAAAGAAAGAAACCAAGCTCTTTCAGCAGAGACATTTACACTAGATTCTTAATAGTAAGGGGCATCCTTCTTGCCGGAGGCACAATCCCCAAAACTATCCTTATATCCTTGTCAGCATCTTGGAGAATTTCTTGGTAATTCATTTGGCATCCATCGTTTCCTCAAGCATCTTTAAAAAAAAGCTAAAGAATCAGGCTTGGGTTGTTAACTCCATGACAGTTCATGCATCCTCAACTGTCTCCCAGAATACAGAAAAAAAGATCAGGATTTTCATCGCAGAAAATTGCTTCATACATAAGAATACCCAGTAATTATGCTAACTTTAGATTCTTAAAAACAGTGTTAATTGAGATGATATACAAGTTTGGAACACATACTTGATAACTTATGTATCTATTTTCTTTGGCTATCTGATCTTAATACAGAATAATTATATTTTAAATAACAAGCAGATACTCTTAACTTTAAAGGCTTATAAAACAAAGGACCTCATAAGAAATCAATAATAATATGCTGGATTTATAGGTGTGTCTTCAAATACTTGAGTGCAACCAATCCAAGTACATTTCTTTATCATAAAAGTAAAACTATCTGTGGAAAATTTCTAACCCAATTCATCTTAATATCCCAGTCTCTCCAACTTCTATAATTTAGGTCCTTGCCCAAGTAGCGATAGATAACTTTATCAAAACTTAGTATATTTTTTCAATTAAAATAAATCCCCCAAGAGATGAAAAATTTCCTGGAAATTGATTCTGCTTCCACTAGAAATTTATTCAAAAGAATGCCTATAGTACATAATTAATAAATCACATAATCTAAATCCAATTTTATAAAATAAACACTAGGATACATGTTACATTTTACCTGAATCCAGATTTTTATCCTTCAATTTAAAATCAATAATATTGATACTGTGGAATAAAAATCTGTTAAAATATTTGGCTAATCTTTAAAAGAGAAAAGTGAACATGAGGTCTAAAAACTAAGCTTAACTTTCGGCTAGTTGATTTATTTCAGTGTTAAAACTTTAATCTTTTCTAGAGAAATCTCTTCTAGAGACTGCTTTTAAAATGATTAAAAGTGGAGAAAGTTGTTCAGGGAATTTTTTTTAAAGAATATTGTGTTCAGTATTCTATAGAAGAATGATCCCATTCTAAAATTAAGGTTCTTTTAAAAAACACAAATATTAACAGGTTAGCTATTACTTAATGTGGCTCAGTAAACCCAAAGGAAGAATAACTAGGTAAGAAAATGTATTTACTATATTTAACCTGGGAAAATAACGTCTGTAAAAAATTGGTTCAGGTAAACTTAAAGTACCTGCAATGTGTCCCATTGTCTTTAATTTGAAAAAAAACTAAATTTTAGGCCGATTGAGGTAACCTGTTCCTACTTGCACTAGTTATTGCCACATATCTACAAAAACCTTCCTTCTTCCTTATTTCCTAATGAGGTCTACTCTCATTTTTGTCATTCAAGCTATATCCATCTTTTTCTAGGCATTTTCATATGATTTTTTCCCCTTTGCTTTAAATATCTTCCTGTCCCTTAGAGGCCATAGCAAAATGTCTCCCTAATTGCGAAACCTCTGTTTTCATATCAGAAAATAAATAAATAAATAAGGAAGGAAAGAAAGGAAAGAAGGAAGGAAAGAAAGCAAAGAAGGAAGGAAAGAAAGAAAGGAAGAAGAAAGGAAGGAAGGAAGGAAGGAAGGAAGGAAGGAAGGAAGAAAGAAAGAAAGAAAAAAAGAAAGAAAGAAAGAAATTCTCTTCTGTGGGGTTTCAGGCCACTGAATACACTAGGTTTATTTAGGTGTTGAAGAATGTATCTTTTCACCTGTTTTATGATCTCAGTAAATGTTGGGATGGTTTTCTTGAAATGTTCTGGGACATGATGAACAGATACATTTTACCTTCTAGGAATAATTGAAAACTTTGACTTCACTGAATTTATCTTTATTTATTTATTTATTTATTTATTTATTTTTATAAGAAGGTACTTGTCACCTAGGGAGCAGGGTGACATAAAAACATCAAAACTTTTCTTGCTTAGTATAAACAGAAAGTCTCAACATAGCTAATTGAGTGGAATCTTCTCCTATGGAGATCAATGAAACTAGGTTTACCTTTTTCTCTTTCCCAATAATAGTATTATAGAGATCAACAGAAAGCATTTTAAATAAAAACTTGACTCTGATGTAGAGACTGTTTTCAACTCTTCATTTTTCTGCTTCATAATTATAGTTGTTCACATTTATTTTTTAAGCTATGCTTTATAAGATTTCTATAATGTATAGAAATTGCAATGCTGTATCTAGACATAATTATCCTTTTTAAAATTTTTGTCCATGGTGGAGAGTCTGGATAAAGACTGATTAGAAATGAATTCCAAGATAACTGACTAAAAAATCATTAGATAATTTAAAATATTTCCCTATAATCTCTTTATTTTAAAATTGGCCAATTCAACATGCTTGTTTTGAGAATCATTTATTAAGCCTTCCCAAAAAATATCCTTAGAAATGTATATGCTATCGAGATATGAATTTATAGTTTGCTTCTCTAATTCAGTGTTTTCCAGTTTCCTACTCTCATCAATAGATGCAAAAGGAGGACTGTAGCTAGGATAACTATGCAAAGGGTCTTGGGAATTAGGTGATGAAATCCTATTTTGTTGATACTTCCTCCTCCTTCTGATAAACCATTTGAGATAAGGATGATCTAACACCCACTGCCTATATAAGATACCAGTTTTCTGTGAAAGATTCTTGTATCTAAGAGTCCAGATGGAGTCAATATAGATGCAGTTTTGTACATGTCTCTGAGGCTAAACAAGTTGAGACGATTGCAAAATGCTCCAAAATAAAATAATCAAATATCGCGATATAATACCAACCTTGCTTGGTGTTCTTTACAACCTAATCTCCTAACTGTATCTCATCTCTTTCCAAATTTCTCACTGTCAAAGCCCTTACTGAGATTTCAGAAGCTTGGCAACAAATCTCATCAAACAACTTAACCTTCTAGGCACTAAATCTGTCTTACTTCCTCAAACTGACACTCGGGTAGGTAATCTCACACTAACCAGCTGTAGCTTCTTTGAAAACATTTTCTTCCTCTTCCTCATCTTTGTATTTGCTTTGAAATCTTGCTAATGTTGCAATTTAAATAATCTGGCTATGACTACTGTATATAGATTCAAATAAATGAGCTTCACCAAAACTCAACACCAGTTGAAATTTAAAAATTATGAATTAGCATTATATTATGTTCCAAAAGATTTTTAAGAACACTTCCAGAATGCAAATATCAACATAGAATGAGAAGAGTTAATGTAAACACTAAAATCAACTAAATTTTTAGCTTCCACGTTATCTTTTTCAAAGATCTAGCTTTTAATGTCCTCATTTTCAAGGTTTACATTCAGGTTCCCCTACTTACTCTACCCCCCCCCAAAAAAAAGACAGTTTCAAAGAGGTAAGAATAAGGAAACCCTGAGATTTATGGTTAGCATAAGGGCCAATATCTGAGTTCCATCACTCTTAGGGGAAGATATTCCTCTATTTTGCTCTGACCTTTGAGTGGGAATAACCTAGTTCACTTTAATCTATATTCTAACAGCCCCAGTATGATAGCTATAGGGCACTAATTAGAATGCCTTCCTAATTTTAAATATTATATATTTAGTAAATTTGAATGCAAAGATTTAGCAGAAGTTCTGTAGAAATTCCACTTGTCAAAAAAACATTTGCAGAATCCTTGCCAATTTAATGATATGTATCACAGCCTTTCCCAAATGGCATTCTGTGAGGAAAGTACGACCTGCACAATGCTCTGAGTGATGTCTCCCAGTAATTTTCCTTCTTGCTGCTAATGTCAGGCTGTTCCTTTCTCTGAAATACATTCCTACATTTCCCCAGAGCTAATCTTCATCCTGCCAATGGCAAGGAGTTCCCAGTGCCATCTCCACTCTGTAGGCATCATGCGGATGCACAAGTTCCCTTTAAGAATGTTCATGGCATTACACTCTTATATTTCTAATGCAATGATAATTTTCTGCCTTTTGAGTTATTCATACATGTCTTTTCTTTCTTACAAGGCT